ATCTTTCACCTAAGAAAGCTGAGCATTCACATGTGCTGTTATGTCTTATAGGTAACATATTACAAACACAGGGTAGTCACCTTGAAATGTGACCTCCAGGTTCTTGTCCATGATCTTCACGCTGTTCTCTCAGCTAATAAATTGATCATGTTCCTGCAAATAAAAGTAGGGATTGATACTTGACTTGTGAGCTAGAACAATTTTTTTCACAGTTTCATGCACTGCAAGGAGACTGAGCAGACCTTTACTGTTGAGTCAGCTCATAAATATCCACAAATACAGTGCTGACCTATGTGGCTGTCCTTCCTTTAAATCCTTATAACAACTGTAGATTTGATGGAATGCAGTCGCCCCCAAAAATAAACAAACAAACAAAAAACCCAACCCCTCCAAACCAACAACTCTGGTTGATTTTCACAGATAAGTCTAAATTCAGTTAATATTACACGTTATGTTGAGTACACTAAACTTTGGTGAAGGATGAACAGCGCACATGCCTTTCCGTAACTCTCAGAGCAGTGGTTTTCTTTAACAAATTTTACTGTTGTGGCAAAAGTGCATCTTTATCCACATAAGCAGAAATAGATACCTCAGAGATCATATTTCTTGTTGACACACCCTGTGCAGAGCAAAGTTGTAATACTGATCAAGTACTGTATTGGCTTTCTGTCATGATATAAGCAGAGATATTTTGAAATGACATATTTTCTTTTATAAGTTCTACTTCACTATTTTCACCCTGCACTTTCCTTTCAGCCTAGCTTGTGTTGCTGTCTTCCTCTGTACCATGAAGCCAGTTCTAACACAATTTCTCTGACATCCTTACTTTTTTTGTTGTTGTTTTGCAAGCAGTATTCATCACCCAGAGCTTTGGGCATTGGTACTGCCTAGAGTATTTGACTTAATTCTAGAGATGGAGATGTATGGGTCTCCAGATATCATTGAACTGTGACAATCATCATACCTCGCCATTGACTGTGCTTGCTATGGGTAGGGGAATTGAAATCCAACATCTGGAAGGCCATACATACGCTTTTTGTCACTGTGCAAGAGGTCTCAGCCTTGGAACCCCAGATTTTGCTGGCAATTCACATCATCTCCAGCTAGTGTGGCCAGTGGTCAGGGGTGATGGGAGTCATTATCGAGCAACAACTGCACACCCAAGGTTGGGAAACATGGCTCCTTGGGTGCATTTTTAATTTTTATTGTCAATTGAGTTCTTTCGGGAAGTGGGGACAAAAGGATGCACAATATCCTCAAACAATATGTTGATACAGCTTTTACTATGTTTTTCATTAATGTTTTAGACATACATAAAACAGTTCAAAGATCTCATAGCAAAGCTCAATTCAAGTCAGTTTTACTGATATCAACCATAGGCTTTTGAAGGCAGCAAAGATATGAAATGAAAATAACAAACACAACACATATCAAAGAAGGACAGAAAATAGTTTGAATATATATTACTGATATCTTTGTGCTATTGTGAATGTAAGTACAAAACAAACACACAAAGCAAAATCGCAAGTACTTGTACTGCACCATTTTCAGAAAGAGGAGAAGCTCTTATTTTATAAGAGTCATGCAACATAATGTATCTTTCCCAGTAATCAATACTCTCTTTTTTTTATTTCAGTACGATAAAAGTCTAGGGGAATATGCATCTTTCAACAAAAAGCGTTCAGACCTATTGTATAATAGCCACTTTTTTTCTGCCAGCGATTCAACTCCTTTAGTTACGAATGTGCTAAATGTTAAGTTTTTTAGTATTCTCTGTGTAATACAATGGTGAGAACACTAAATTTTGATTGTAAAAGCTTTAGTTCAGTTGTCTGTTCAGCCACGAAATTTAACTAAGTGGTCTTGGGGAATCACTAGAATAAATACGATTTTCTGTTTGCTGGACTCCTAACGGAGCACAGCAGAGGAACAAATCTGTGACAATACCGCAGGGAGTGAGCAACCACAGTGAGCAAGCAGGGAGAGCTAACAGGGGAGATAGTAAAGAAAGGGAATAAGAAAAGGGGGAAACTGAAAGAAGAGACAAAAGAAAAGGGAAGACCAAGGGGACAATTGAAAAGAGTTATATATTAGTGGTAGAAGACAGGAGGGCCTGGCGTGCTCTGGTCCATGGGGTCACGAAGAGTCGGACACGACTAAACGACTAAACACATATATTAGTGGTGGCAATCCTTCCATCACATCCCAATCCATCCTCCAAGGAGACAGCAGATATATATATATATGGAAGGATTGCCGCCACTAATCCAGGAGAAGATGTGGATGAAACCTTTGAAAAACAAATTGCAAGGATTTCAAAGAGACATGATACTCTGATATTCAATTTCAGGAGGAGTGTAACTCCATCAAGGATAGATAAATTTCCCTCTAACTATCCAACCGTCCTCCTAACAGGAGAATCTCTTATCATCTTAATCATTTGAGGACTGCAGAGCTGGAAGGGAACCTGTGGATTGAGTCCTGTTAAACTCCCAACCTCTGGCTCCACAACCTCTGAACCACAGAGCAGTCCGGCAGTTCTTATCTGGGTACAGTTTCAGGTTTATTACCTGTCGTCCACTCCATTCTTGATGCTTGGCAGCACTCAAGGACCTGTACATCATCCCTTTCAGATGAAGCAAAGGAGAGATAGAGCTACATGTCATCAGATGAGAGGCAGGGAGTGGCCTAAATCTGAGGGAATGTTAGAACCGCTGCCTTTTTACTAAATGCTATCATGATGCCTTAGAATAGCTGAGTTGCATAACATTGCTTTCCTTTCCTACTGCTTTGAATTGAGTAATATGTTGACTGGAGCTCTAGATCACTCTACAAGAGCAAAGTGGTAGGAACTCCATAAAAAGAAGACATAAAAGACACCTAAGGGTGGGGCTTAGAACCTATTACCCACTGAGATGGGAGTCCTACTGTACAGTTTCCTTTTTCTAAAACAAATCCCAAAACTACCACTATTATCTTTATTTCAAGGAGGATGCTTGTTACCACAGTGTCATACAAAGAGATGTGCTGGGTCAGACAAAACGTATCTATCTTTAGTCCAACATTCTGTTCCTGCAGAACAAGCATTTGCCTCTGGGCAATCTATAACTGGCACATGAGCACAGTAGTATTCCCATCTTTTGATATACTGGGTTGTAGTGCCTAATGCATTTATATCAGCTTGACCTTTGCTGTTTTTAAAACCTTAACACATGTATGAAGAAGATGAAGTGTTAAATTATTATGCCCTTCCTCCAAGAAACTCAAAGAAAGACCATGTGATGTTGTGGAAGGCTGTGCTAATGTCCCCCAACACTTGCCTTATTTCCCATCTAAGTCAAAAAAAAAAAGGAGCTGTTTGGTGACGGTGAAACATTTAAACTTAATCTAGACAACAGAGAAATACTTCTGACCAATTAAAATGCAAAGTAAAGAGTAGGGATTTTAACCTTTTTCATACCCACCTCGAAGACCGAAGATCACACTTTGGGCCTACTTGTCTGTTTAGCTCTAAACCAAAGTATTCCGTATACAACCTTGAGCTACTACATCTTTCTCTAAAGATTTCCCATTTGGCTACATTGATACAAGCTTTGGTTGCATCTCATTTGCAGTCTGCGCGTGTTAGAATGCTACTAGAAACTTCAGCTGGTCCAGAATGCTGGTGATTGTGGGTATTTATAGGGAGCGCTACCTTGTAACAACAGATTCAGTGCTTTCTGGTCTATTTTTTTCTCACAATTCAAAGTGCTGGATATGACTTGTAAAGAACTTTAGACCGGATTATTTGAAACCTTTGTTCTCCCATATAAGGCTACCCAGGTTTTAAGATTGTTAGGAAAGGCCTTCTTTCTGACCCAACAGCACTGGAAAAGTAAGCTCTCCCATTAAGCAGAGTGAGGTATCACACAACTCAGGCAGCAGAATGATGGTGTTGCTCCCTAAAACACCAGGACTATTGACTCTGAACTCTCTCTCTCTCTGTCTCTTCTGAGATCCTTTTTCTCTGGGTCATTCAGGATGAGGATAGAAGTAAAGCTAGGGAGAAGCATGAGAGACAAGGGGAAAGAGACCTAGGTTAGGAAATGGTGCATTCAAGGGGACATTAAAATTCTATTTTCTCCTGTGGCATAAACTCTACCAGAGATTACTATAGGAAGCCAGGTTTGGATTATTTATTTAATTAATTAATTTATATCCCTCCTTTCCACAACAAGGGATAGTTTGCCATTTCCTGTCTCACCTCAGGTGACAGAAGCTGAGCATTAGAGGTACATACGGTGGAAATATGGGAGAGGGTCTTTCTCAGTATCTGTTCCCAGGTTCTGGATTTTCTTACCAATTGAAGTCTGGCTAGTCTCCATCAAGATATTTTTTTGTTCAGATAGAGTTAATAGAAATAAGAAATAAATAAACGGCACGTGCAAATTAAAATATATGTTTTCTGAAGTGTATATATTAATTTACAGGTTCTGTTTATTTTTTATTTGAGTAATTGTAATTTAATTTAACTAATTTAATTTTCATTATTAATTAAAATACAGTATTGTGTACTAATTTGCAGTGTTGTTAGCTGCCCAGAGTTCTATTTGTTGTGGAAAGGAGGGATATAAATTAATTAAGTAAATAAATAATCAAAACCTGGCTTCCTATAATAATCTCTGGTAGGGTCTATGCCACAGGAGAAAATAGAATTTTCAGTGTACCCTTGAATGTACCAGATTTGAATGTTTAAACAGATTTGAATGTTTTTGCACAGAAATACATAATGAGGATGGGAAGGAATTGGCTATCCTTCCTAGCCACTCCTTTTTCCCTACCTACTTATAGTCAAGAATGTATTTTAAACTCACACAGGGAAATTCCTACAACACATAGCTGCACTCTCTCAAAATTATCCTGGGAGGATTTACAAATGCCATCTTTTTTTCTGTTTACTGTCAAGCAATGTTGCATTTTATGACTGTGCCTTGACTTGATCTTGTCTCCTTGCTTTACAGGAAGGCATGCACCAAACACTGAGCTCCACCAGTATGTTTACTCCCTGTGGCTTCAGCCCTCATCATCTCCATCCGTCCAAAGAAGGTAATGAAGGAGGGCTGATATTTCAAGATGGAAACCTTACCTCAGCATCTCTCGATGCTTTAATCCAGCATCTTACACCCACCGCTGACTACTACCCTGAAGTAAGTACTTTGGAAATGTGTTTCATATTGAAGAACTAGTTTTTCTGCAAATAATATGCAATATTTTAATTAGGAAGCTTTCTTTTCAAAAAGTGTGCAATTGAAAAAGAGCATAATATTGACACGTTGCTCTTAATGAGATAATGTCTTGCTTGTGACACTTCTGCTTTGAAGGATTATACAACATGAAGTTCCAGATCATGAGGACAAATTGGCAATATTTAACTCTGCTCTAGTGCTCATATAAGAGGAAAATTCTTCGAGGTGAGGTGGAAAAATTTGTATGGCTGCCAATGCACCATCATAGGCATCCTTCAGTCTCGAGAGACTATGGTAACATGCTCTGTATCGAGAAGTGTCCTCCAGAGCATGAAGGCTGGTTAAAGGAGTATGGAGGATAGGCTGTTACCCAAGCAGCAAATCCCCCCTCTCCATGTTGCTAAAATGGTCCAATGGAAAGGCAAGAGCCAATACAACTGGTTCCAGCAATGTTGCAGGAGTTGGCAGAACGACACAAGCTGCCTTTGGGACTCCAGCTCCAAATTTTGCCTCTAGGTTAACTCCTGAAGCCTTTCCCATGAGTGGATATAGCCAGTGGAGGTTTGAAATCGGAGATTTCCTTCTCCTAGATGGGCTGCCTTCCACGGCTGAGAAGTCCCACCTACCCTGCCTGCTCTAATTGTGCGGAAGTATGATCCGACCCTTAAAACTTTCCTGCCTCCCAGGTGTATGCAATGCTAATTGGTTTTCCTATTTACCATATTAGGGTCAGAGATAGAGTCAGAGAATTTGAGGATTTCATTTAAGGAGGGAAAGCCCCACCTCCTAGGCCATGTGGTAGTGGTGGGGAAACAAAAGAAATCCCAGCAAAAACAAACACTTCAGCAAAATGTCCATGCAGGCAAACCTAGTGTTCAGCCTCAGCTCAGCCTCCTAGGGAAAAGCTATCCTGGGAGGATTTACAATGCACCAGGGCTGTGACATTAAAAAAAAAAAGCAAGAAGCTGCATTTTACTTTAAAAACAAGGTATGTGGTGAATATGCCCCATTTTTGCAGCTGTTATGTCACTGAAATGTAGTGTTATGATAGTCGTTTCAATGGTGGGGTTAATGGGCTGCTGAAAAGTCCTATCAAAGGGCACATGCAAGTATGCTTTCTCCACCTTTGCTGTAGCCTAGACAAGCGAGAGCCCTTCTCTTTGTCACATCACATTTTGTAACAGGTAGAGATCTTCAGAATACTTAGCACGACATAACATTCTCAAAAAGCATCCATAATGTGAATTGAAGGCAGGCTGGGCAGTGCCTTAATTAGACCAGTAGAAAGCAACATACCTAAGCTAGCTTTCAGCCTGCTCATCAGGCTGGGCACCACTGAGCTGGTGGGGGAAAGGCAGAAGAAACTCAACAGTTTGAAAAAATCATGACCAGATGTGCGTTCTGGTTTCCTTTGTTTAAAACAAGTTTCAAAATGGGAGCTGCTGCAGGCTCAAGGTGGAAGTTTAGGTTTCAAATTTCACCTCTGGTGGCGTGGATTGGAAGGTCCTTCCCAGTCTTGTTAAAGGAAGAGATGTAGGGAAATTCCAGTCCCCACCACCAGAGGTGAGATCTGAAACCTACCCCTCTGCCCCGGATCTGCACACCTTCGTTTTGAAACTTGTCATAAACAAAGAAGCCTGACATGCACATCTGGCCATGACTTCTGAAACGTTTTATGATTCTTCTGTACCATCCCCAGCTCAAAGATGTCCAGTCTGAGAAAGACCCAGGCAAGGTTGAAAGCTAATTTGTGTCAACGATTTTTTAGTGGTCTAATAAATGTGTCATCCACGTTTGGCTTTGGTTTATGTACAAGGACCACTCTGCATTTTTTTTCTGAACTGTTACCCTTTCTAATCATTTTGAATGTCTGTGCCTGATGGAGGGGTGCCAGAAACAAATGTGCATGTATTAGCATACTAAAGGCCCAGATCTCCCTGTGTGTGCTGGTGTCTCCCACATTATTAATTCTGAGGGGGTTTCGAGGCTGAGGCTGAAACTCCCTTGCCTGGTGCAGCATAGAATCTCATGGCTTCCAAGCTAGAAAAAAGAGCAGAGCAAAGCAACCAAGACCAAATCGTGCCAGAGCAGCTCCCCTTTAATGATGGCTCACAGCATATGGACCTCATTAGCTTTGGGAGGCAAAAAAAAAAGATGAGTTAACAGAGGGTAGGGAGAGGTGTATAAAATTCTGCTTGGTGTGAAGGAAGTGGAGAGATGCAAGTTTCTTTCCCTCATTATGTATACTGCTAAGTACAGTACTTTGGTCCATCCATTGAAGGCAAATTGCTGGAGATTGAGGAGAGACAGAAAAAAGTATCCTTCACACAGTACAAAGTGGAGTGTTTTACTCCAAGATGTGGTGATTTCTCCCCAGCTTAGATGGTTTTAGAGGATAGGGCTGCCAGTTGCTGACAGTGGTGGGCTTCTGAATTCCAGTTGCTGGGGAACATGGGTGGCTCATGTCATTCTTGTGTAGAAGATGTTAGACTAAATAAGACTTTTATCTGATCCAGCAAGGCCTTTCTTTAGTTCTTACGATGTATGCCCCATGGCCATAATTATATTAAACCTGTGTATTTTGTACATGATGAGGCCCACGCTCTTTTATCATAACTAACCATCAAGTCTTGCATGGTGTTGCTGTGGACTTCCTTTGAAAAATTATTTATTTTCACAACTAGTTCTCATTGGATAAATGTTCTTTTCCCAGAAGGCCTATATCTTTACATTTCTTCTGAGCTCTCGACTCTTCCTTGAGCCTCATGAACTTCTGTCCCGGGTTTGTCACAAGTGCATTGAACAACAACAGCTAGATGACCCTGTACTGGATAAGGTTAGTATTTTTTTTTTATGGTGGAAGGGTTTTTGGGGGGTTGCATTGCAAGTGGAGAGCTAGTGTTCATTTGCACAGAGAGAGAGAGAGGTTTCTTTCTCTCTTCCTTTTCCTTTCTGATTGCTTGTTGTTGATATGCATTCATTCCAGTGGGGAGTTTGTTGACGTACAGCCTTTATGGCAAACCACTGCATTTCAACACGTCCGTGCCCAGGAGCAAAGCTCTATGCACGAGGTATACCAGCCACTTCAAGCCCTCTTTTACCTTCCCTTCCCAGCCGCTCTCCATCTTCCTAGGTGATTTCTTTTTCATGTGTTGAAGGCTTTGCTGAAGCCTTCAGGGTGCTAGGAGGCAGAATTTAAACTGTGTGCTCGCAAGAGCAGATGTCATCACAGCACCACTGTATCTGTCACTCACTGCATCTCCCCTTTGTCTTAGGTAGGGTTTGAAAACCATCACTTCAATTCCCCATAGCAGAATGTAGCTGTCTATTAATTTTTCAATGTCTGGACTGACTAAAAGTTTGTGTGTTTACACTTGTATGCCTTGTCTGTTCTAGTACGTAGACAGACATAATATAATCAAGGTTATGATTGCCTTACATAAAGCAGACAGATCATGTTTTTCTTGTTTTATGTGTTCATCCTTGAAAAATAGAAGGCTACAATTTGAGGGTTTTCAGACATATTTGAACTGCACTTCACTGCCTGGTGGAAAATCCATTATGGACATCCAAAATTATTTCTCTTCCTATATTCCTTTTTTCCATGTGCCAGCAGAGTGTCTTTGATAAGGATCCAGCTGCCAAAATGTGCTGGAAATTAGGTTGGAGCGAATATATCAGCCCATTTGACAGTGCCACAGCTTCCATTAGAATGTCTGTAGCACTTGGATTGCAGAAATAGTTCTTTTTAAAGCTCAGTGTGGTAAATATGAGATTATAGACGCCCTATCCAGTGATTTTCATACTGAAATTTCAGACTGGTGTGAAATTTATGTGTGGTTTCACCCTTTAAATCTGGTAAGAACAGTCCATATTTGGGCTCAGCAAGCTATCAAATTTGTGTGAAAGGTCTGCTGCCTCCTATGAAAATGCAAAAAAAAAAAACAAAAACCAGACAACATCTAGAGAGAAGAGTCATGTCTCAAGATACTGTGAAGTGATATTTATTGTTAAAAGCCATCACATATTCAAATGCATACCTACATATATTAGTTGCCAGTAAGTTGTATTGGAAGTTCTTTCAATAAACATTTCTGCAAGCTGTATTCTTCAACACCCTAAAGAAGGCTTTAAATTGTAGTGATCTAAATCAGTAAAAGCATATAAGCACATGTATTATTATGGCTTACGTCATAGGGAAGACTCAGACAGATATATCCAACTGTCAGGGGGATACACAGTTGATTACAGAATCGTACTCAGAGAGCACTGAGGAATCAATGGTTCCTTCTCAAACTGGGAGGAGACAACAAGTGGGGTACCACAAGGCTCAATCCTGGGTCTGGTGCTCTTCAACAGTTTTATTAATGACTTGGATGAGGGGATAGGGGGAATGTTTATCAAAATTGCACATGACACAAAATTGGATGGAAGAACTGATACCTCAGAAGACATGAATAAAATTCAAAAAGATGTTGACAGGCTTGAGCACTGGGTTGAAAACAACTGAATGAATTGAACGGGGATAAGTGCAAAGTCCTTCACCTAGAGTAATGACCCAAATTTATCAGGAATGACATATGGAATAATGTTCACATAAATGCACAATCTTTAAAATGACAAACCTTGTTGCTTAGTAAAACAGTACATCAACATAAAAGAGGCATTTGATGAATAGTTGGTGCAACATACTTTAGTATAAACACATTTTGTTTAGCTTACTAGTACTGTTTTTCTGCTTCATAAACATGTTCTGCACATTGTCATCCAATTCATTAATAAGTGATAGAATAAAAGATAATGCTTATTACTGTTTAGCAGTAAGGTATAAACAATGTCTTGCTAATCAACTATGACAATCACGGCTGAGTAGCACTATAAGTAAACAAATCTGCTGACCACTGGGGATAGTGGCTTCTTAGCAATCTAAGTAAACAAAGATTAAAGAATATATAAACAGCCAGTGATTTCTTACAGCACCATCAGAAGAGCAGCGAGAGACAAAAAAAAAACCAGGTTGTGTATCATAAAAAGACATGAGACACCAGAATATCAACAATGGTTACATGGGTTTTAAAGGTCTGCCTTTAGGTCGGCTTGTAAAGGAGTTCATACAGAGCACCTCAAAGTGAGGTCTGAAAGAAGTGCTTCTCCTCTATTCAGCACAGGTTAGGCCTCCTCGTAATTACTGTGTCCAGTTGTAGACACCACTATTTAAGAAGGATGCCAACAAAATAGAACAAGTTCAGAGAAGGACAACAAGGATGATCAGGGCAATGGAAACCAGGCCCTATGAAGAAAGACTGAAATAACTGAGCATGTTTAGTCTTGAGAAAAGAAGACTCTTGAAATACTTGAAATATTGTCATACAGAGGAGGAGCAGGATCTGTTCTTGATCTGTTCTTACAGAGAGCAGGATATGTAATAATGCATTCAAGTTACAGGAAGTCAGATTTCAGTTGAATATCAGGAAAATGAAAACCTTCCTAACTGTTGAAGTAAAATAAGGAGGGAACCAGTTACATCAGGAGATGGTGAGCACTCCAGCGCTGGAGTCATTCAAGATAAAATTAGATAAGCACTTTGGATTCCTTCATTGAGCAAAGAGTTGGACTCAATGAACTTATAGGCCCCCTTCCAATACCATTATTTTATAATTTTATGATGATAACATAAGTATATGAATATATTTTATGACTGCATGCATAAAATAATAGGCAGGGATTGTAAGTCAAAAATAGTTTTATTTTAAAAAGTACAAAGGAATAAAAGATTTCAAAGAACATATAAAATAAAATATAAGCACTATGTTTCAAGCTGTCAGTTTTTTCAAAATATAAGAATAAGCCTTTAATTGTCTTCTTTAGGACTTAAACATTATTTGTTCAATATAGGCCAATGAAAAATACTCAATGTATTCTTGAACGGTTGGGATCCAATAGTTGTTGTAGGTTTTTCAGGCTGTATGGCCATGTTCTGGAGCTTTGTTGATCAACAAAGCCTGGCTCTCACCACTGAAAAATACAGGCTGCAAAAAGGTCAATGAATTCTACCCAGCCACAAGGACCGGTGATCATTGCACACAAAAGACTAGCGAACTACACCCATCAATCACAGTGACCATAAACACCCAGAGCACCCAGGCTCCTGAAAAGAACAAAAAGCTGATCCCACAGCTACAAATACTCAACTATCACACACATTGCATCAGAACACAGAGTGCTAGCTCCTGTCCTCTGAAGATGCCGGCCGCAGAGACTGGTGAAATGTTAGGAAGAAAAACCTCCAGGACAAAGCCATACAGCCCAAAAAACCTACAACAACCATCAGAAAAATACTCACTTGGATGCAGGTATCAACAAGACCTCACCATTATTCACGACCTCTTCACAAAACAGAGCACATTAACTTTCAAACTCTGACAGCACTGACTAAAAATTCTCTTTCGCATACACTCTTATATACAACAGAATCTCTCCAGCTAGGAACTACATTGGCCAATCAGATTGCAGTTCCATTCATAAATATTCTTTTTTACTTCTAACTTCAGTCAACACCTGTCACTTACTATGCAGACAAATACCAATCCATCCATCCATCCATCCATCCATCCATCCATCCATCCATCCATCCATCCATCCATCCATCCATCCATCCATCCATCCATACATACATACATACATACATACATACATACATACATACATACATACATACATACATACATACATACATACATACATACATACATACATACATACATACAAAAGCACAAGAATATGAATTTAGGAAAAGAAAAAGCGAGCTTGGTGGGAGAGGTTTAAACCTACCCTACCCACGTACATTAGTCTTATTCTGGATCACAGGTTTTCATGCTTTCTTGTACATAAAAAAGAAACTTAATTTCTGAGACTAGTGAGGAGACCCGTACTTAGCCTTAGGAATTCACTCATATGTGAGATTTGCAGGACATTTTGGAAAAATGATGGCTCAACAACTATATAAATACAGTATTTTAAAACAAAAAGTCTTAAAAATGCAAATTTTTAAGAAAATAGACATATTTTAATCATTAGCAAAAATGTATAATTAGACAAAATGTATAAATAAACGTGTGAACCGAGGAAAAATTTTCTACCAATTTCAGTATGGGAGCAAAACAACAAATTCTAGCAACTCAGTAAGAAAAAAGAATGGGAATAAAATGTAAATTGGGTTTGGAGATCCATTTCAATCGGGTTTCAGGCCGGGTTATGGGACGGAAACTGCCTTGGTCGCCCTGTATGACGACCTTTGCCGGGAGAAAGACAGGGGTAATGCATCCCTGTTGATTCTCCTGGACCTCTCAGCGGCTTTCGACACCATCGACCATGGTGTCCTTCTGGACAGACTGGCTGGGATGGGAATTGGAGGCACTGTTTTACAGTGGTTCCGTTCCTACCTGGCTGATCGAGTCCAGAAGGTGGTGCTGGGGGACAGTAGCTCTGACCCATGGCATTCATGTCATGGGGTTCCTCAGGGCTCGATACTGTCCCCCATGCTGTTCAATATCTACATGAAACCGCTGGGGGAGGTCGTTAGGAGGTTTGGGCTGAGGAGTCAGCAATATGCTGACGACACCCAGCTCTACCTCTCATTTTCTACCAATCCAGGTGTGGCAGTCACCGTTCTGAACTCGTGCCTGGACTCGATAATGGTCTGGATGAGGGTCAATAAACTGAGGCTCAATCCAGACAAGTCTGAAGTGCTGCTGGTAGGTGCCCCGCCAGATAGGTTAAAGGGCCATCTCCCTACCTTAGACGGGATCACACTCCCCCTAAAGGATAGGGTCCGCAGCTTGGGGGTGCTCCTTGACCCCAGTCTGACCTTGGAAGCCCAGGTGGACTCGGTGTCCAGGGGTGCCTTCTTACAGCTGCGGAGAATATATCAACTTCGCCCTTACCTGGATGAGCGGAGCCTGGCAGCAGTCACTCATGCACTGGTAACAACCAGACTGGACTACTGCAATGCACTATACGTGGGGCAGCCTTTGAAGACGGTCCGACGACTGCAACTGGCACAGAACCGGGCTGCGCGGCTGGTAAGTGGTGCCGCCGCACGGTACCTAAAGGACCGCCTTCTTCCATATGTGCCTGCCCGTCCTCTAAGATCAGGCCAGGAGGCCCTTCTGAAGGTGCCATCTCTGAAAGAGGTGAAGGGGATGGCATGTCGGAATAGGGCCTTCTCGGTTGTTGCCCCCCAACTTTGGAACACCCTCCCTAGAGAGATCCGCCTGGCTCCGACACTCTTGGCCTTTCGGCGCCAGGCAAAGACCTTTCTGTTCACCCAGCATTTTAATTAATTAATTTTAATGTTTTAATTGTTTTAAGAAATATTTTAATATATGGTATTTTATACTGTTTCTTAAAATGTTTTTAATGTTTTTAGGTTTTAATGTTGTACGCCGCCCAGAAGCCACTGGCAATGGTGCGGCCAAAAAATATTGTAAATAAATAAATAAATAAATAAAATTGAATCCAATGGATTTTTCTTTTACATCCCTCTTTAAGAGCTCATTAGCGAACTGAAACATTTATACAAGACTGTGCAGATGTAGTGAGACCAGTGCTTGAACGGACTGTGGCATATGGCCAAGGAGAGGGTGATAGATAGATGTTTGTCATCTTCTGCCCCCCACGAATAAATGTCCCAGGAATTTTCACAGGTCTTTAACTATAGTATTGCAGTGATAGTAAGAAAGCTGCACTGCTATGAAGCCTGTTTAGACGGTTTTGTGGGGGGAAGCAGGAAGTCTCAATGCACACAATATAATTTTGTTCGATTATAGGGTGCCTTTACTTTGGATGCTAAACTAAGGAAGCTTTCTGTTTCCATGAATGTATATGTTGTTTTAAAATAGCTTGCTTAGAATGTTCCTGTGACATTTGGGAAGAAGCGTATCCTGCTGCTGTGCACAATATAGATGATTTGACCAAATTTTATTAAGAAATAGAAAAGAATGTACAAGGCTTGCCTGGCAATGATATTGTCAGGTCCAAATATGCATTTTCAGAATAGATTGTAGCTGTGCAAAATGGAGGAAATCTCTGCCCATTAGGAAAAGCTGTGGTAGGTCTGCATGAGCAATTCAGTCTTTGCAAAACCCATATTTGAGAGCTTGTGTGATGTAGTGGGTAGAGAGCCAGGCTATTTAGGAGAGCAGGTTTCAAATCCTCACTTGGCCATGAAACCTCACATGTGCATATGTGTGGCAATGGAAAACCCCTCTTTAAACATCTCACACACTTCAAAAACTGTATTAGGTTTACCATAAGTTGGAGATTACTTGATGTCACACAATGACAACACCATACAAGCTGATCTCCTAAGGCAATATTGAGGTTGGGACAGACCTGTCTATCAAATTGTTATACCCTGTCATGCTTTGAAACAAAGTTTGGCCACAAACAGTATCAGAACACAGGAACTACGCTCACGTACTACTAAGCTGTTTTGCATAATAGTATGTGAACGTAATTTGAGTGCATAATGCTTTCTGTTACAATACATCTGTGCTCTCTTGCTCTCTCTCTTTTTTTTCCTTTTCCCACCCATCTTTCCCAGCCTTTGGCCTACACGCACACAGCTTAAGAAGAAGTAGAGTTTAGGTGAGTGTGACCCAGTTGAACTATGCTCACAAGCACAGAAGTCCTGGCCTTTCTGCCCTGTTCTGCACTATTCGATTCAGGCCCGCAACCTTGATTAGCTTCTTCAAGAAGAGTAGGCTGCAAAGTGTCCTTGGAGTCAAAGTACCATGGGACAAGTTGCCTGTAGGTCACATGAAAGTTAGATTTTACTGAAGAACCTGACTTGAAGATGGATGAATGGAGTTGTGCAGAACAGAGAAAGAAGTCCAAGGCGGCATATGGAAGAGTAGTAAGACACTGTGTTAGGGAAGCTTTGCCACTCCTGTCATTCTGCCACCTGAGTCAGTTGCCTCAGTTTGGTTAACTGTAGGGCTGGCCCTGTCTCCAGAGTGTAAAGGCCTCCTCATAGGCACTTGTTTATAAGTGATTTTAAAAATGAGAAATAAAATAAATTATCTATCTCTCATCTTATGTCATCAGCAGTATAAATGTAATTCCTTGTCCATATGTAAGGTTTTTTGGTGCCATACAAATGAGATAATTAAAAAATTCAGCTTCAAGATGAATCCAGTAGGCCTTGCTGTTGTAGTGATTACTGAGAGCTGCCTATCAACTTTTCACCCATCCATTTTTGTTTTCAAATTTCAGGCACGGATCAAGAAATTTGGGCCCAAAATTCTGCAGTTATTGACGGAATGGACTGAAACATTTCCATATGATTTTCAGGAAGAAAAAATGATTGGTTGTTTGAAAGACATTATCCACCGGATAGCTCCATGTGATGAGGTAAGGATCTCCAGAATTCTGGAGCTTGGAAATGTCACTGTTTTGGACTATAACTCACAGAATCTCTCAACTAGCATAAGTCAATGGCCATGACAACTAGCAGCCACAGCTCAAAGAAGGAACTCATCCAAGCTGTGCAGTTCTTGGAGGCATACCAGGAACTTGCATCACCAAGAGGTGCCAGTCAGTTCCTTATTGTTAATTATTACTTTCAGAAACGACCCAGAGGTTCTTCTACCATTGCATTTGATTTTCTCTCTTTTTAAAAAAACAAATGTAATTATCAGTAGAAACGTGCACAAAATGACTAGCTACCTAAGATTTGGGCCGCTGTTTTTTATTTATTTTCTTGTTTTTCATCTACTCTTCCAGTTTTTATATTACATGTATTATTTGTTTTTAATACTGTAAGCCCTCTTGGGTCCTTTTGAGGGGAAAGCTGGGGTATAAATAGTTTAGATAAATGAACAAATGAAAGAACCACCTTTATTGGTTGAAGAATTTCAATAGCAGAATTAGATACTTGGTGGTGGTTGTTTTTTAAAGAAAAAAATGTTTTTAGGCCATATGATTTTAGGCCACGCTGGTACTCATGGGAGGCAAGTTCAAATGGGGACTTTTTAATAACTTAAATTATGGCCAGTATCAAAGAGCTGTTGCTTTTACAGCTGTGCACAATTTTATGCATGGTTTTCTGTGTAGCATGACAGACTCCTGTTCAGGTAAAACTGGCCCAGTGTGCCCATGGCCATGTGGGGCCAGTTGTTTGGCTCTTTCTTTTATCCCCATATGTAATCTGAGACATGTCATGTCACTTTTCACTTGTAATCTTCCATTACTGTTTTCATATTTTTCCTTACCGCAGAGAAAGTTCAGTAAGGGGAAAAAAGCAGAATGGCTCCATAGTGCTTTCTCATTACTAATACGAACCTTCCATCTGGAAGTGCCTTAACCAGAGCTTTTAAAAGTTACATATTTGAATCACAACTCCCAGCAGTAATAGAATACACAAAGAGAATGAAGAACTGCTAAACTGCTACATCGGCTCCATCTTCTCCCCAAAGGGAAACAATCTCAATCTAAGGACTCAAACCCAATGAAATCCTTCACCTGTTGTTGTACCAGGTTCTCCTTTTTTTAAAAAATGATTTAAATTTTAGCGTACACATGAGATACGTGGACATGCAGAGTACTGTGCGAGGGGAGCAAGTTTTTCTGCTCTTCTGCCAAAGGTCTGTTTATTTGGGTGCGGATGTGGAATTGATTCATTGGAATCGATTCCGCATATGTGAACACCGCACTTGCTTTTTTAAAATTCCTGCTACCAGATAGCAGGAATTTTAAAAATAAAAAATAGAAGCACTGAGCTTGTTTTTTTAAAAAGCCAGTGCCTGCTTGCTCACCGCTTTGGCTACCCAATCGCCCCCCTCATCTGCCCTATTGCCCCCTCGCCCGCCAGGTCACCGTTTGCCTGCCCGGTCATCCCCCCGGTCACTGCCCCCCTCACCCACCCAGTCTCCCTCTCCCTCACTCATTCCCCACCTGGTGCCCCCCTTGCCCCTTCCACCCAATCACCCCTTCACCCATCTGGTCACTCCCCCCCACTCGCTTGTCCACCTGCCCAGTTGCTTCCTTTCACTCTCACTCTGACAACTGGACCAAGACCAAAAAAATAATAATTTTAACAAGAAAAAAAATTGTAAAGGTGTACGTTTAGGAGGAAGAATCAAATGCTCAAATGTTAAGAGAATGATAAGTGGCTTAGCAATAGTATGTCCAAAAAGGACCTAGGGTATCAGCCGCTCAGTGGTTTTCAGTAACTTTTGTTCTCCATTTCTGTTTCTGCCTGCACAGCTCAATGCTTCTAAGAACTTTGTACTGTACTTAGAAAGCCTAGGAAGGATTGCCATAATTGACTTTCCAGCATATAATTGTGTGTGTGTGTTTGTTTGTGTGTTTGTGTTTGTGTGTCTGCGTGTGTTCATGTGTGTGCATATCTATATAAAGCCAGGCTTCTTCATCAAAATCAATAATTAGTTGGAGGAATAATTCATAAGGTCCTATTCATATAGGTGTCTCATGAAATGGAAACATGAAAGGCCTTCAGTTCCACGGTGGGATTTGTGGGTGTTTGAAGGGAAAAGTGCATATCAGATCAAAAGGCTCATTGAACGAATCTGTTCTTTCTCTCTCTCGAGACTGTTTGGGATGGTTCCTCACAGCAGTGGTCTCTTCTTTGTCCTGCCCAGTTTCTCAGTGCTCTGTGCCACATTCAAAAAGATAGGCAACATACTGAGAAGCATTTCTTTTGCTCAGAATTGTGATTTACATTTTGAAAGAGAAGGCTTAATTAAAATCTGAATTCCTGAGCCACCTGCTGGGCTTCCCATCTTCTTAAATGTGTTTCTGCTTAAGAATTAAATGCTCTTGTTAAATATTAAAACAATAATACCATTTAATAACCAGAGCTGCTATTTTAAGGAGAAAAAGGATTAATTATTACCTTTTGAAGTAATACCATCAGAGGTAGTAGCAGGTAGGTGTGTATGTGTTAATACAGATTATGCAATATCTGTTTATGCAGATTAAACTGCATGGTCATTTGGATATTTATATCTGAACAGGAAAAAAAATATAGAGGAGATGGTTATGCTCAGCTACAGTATTCAAAAGTTCATTATGACCATTACATTCTGCAGTCTTTATGTAAGATATGAATTTTTGTGTACCTCCAGAGTTAACTTTCCTGCTGTATGGGAGATACTAACATGAATATGTTTCTGTGTTTCCTATGATATTGTGCTTTGTGGGGGTAGGTCTCCATGATAAACCTTCTGCTTCTACTCTTCTCCATGAAGTCAGGTTTTACTTTGGCCTTCATGTTTTTGATCATAGAATCTAACCTGAGGGAAATTAAGAGGACAGGTGTTCCATTTCCCGTGATCCAACTCACAGGAGCTCCAGCAAGTACATATTATTCCTGAGTAACTCAAATGTAGGCTGTTGGCTGCTTTTGTGGAAAGTTCAGGTTGTCCTTAGGGGCAAGTGGACTAGTTTTCTGAGTGAATAGGAGTCTTCATATTTCCAGCAGGGAAATAGCTTTGTGGACATACCTAATTTCAAGCTGTCGAGGTCTGATACCTGCTGGTGTCATTGCCTCTTCTTGGCAGTAGTGATGTGTTCTTCATAGTTGTTCTTCTCAAATTGCTCAGGGCATCAACAGTGCACAGCAGGAAAAAAAATCTGTGGTGGCATACGTCCAGCTGCTATGAGTGATATCTAGCTAGATGACATAATCCATGGACGCTCTGGGTGTCCCTGACCTGATTTGCTAATTTGTGTTGACCCAGCCGTCAATGTTTTCATTGCAGGCATTGCTTCTTCAGAGTGGCTTATGTCCAGATTAGCAGCAGGCTCAAAGCACAGCTAGCTGTCTGAGGGAGAGATTCAAAAGAAAATTTTGTTATCAGCATTTTTTGCTCAAGCTGTCAAACACTGTTAAATGCCCTTCAAAGACTCATGCTTAATAGAGAGCACTGTAACTGCTCATAACTGGGTCTTTATTAAATAAATGTTTTTCCCCCTCAAGAGTGTGACACATGTAATTTATAGCCATGCCTTTACAGGTTTAGAGGAACCTCCAAGTAGGCTTATGCTAAGTATGCGCATGCTGAGAAGATGCCTTTATCAGTATTATTTCGGTGAAATGGAAAAATGACTAATTTAGCCAGGACGAAGCCCCATCTAAGATTCCCAAGGAATCTTACTACTGATTAGAGAGTACAAGATGATGTACCTAGGATGGTCAGTATTTTCAGCTCCTTTGGAAGAAACTGAGAAATTGTTGAATGTGGATTATGGACCTTTATGGAGAATGCAGCCTTTCTATCATTGTCTGGGAACAGCTAGCTGGGTGAAAGGTGTGGTCTCTCTCTTAGCAAAATGTGAATTTTTAGGCTAAAAAGACCTCTAGCAAAGCAGCAAAAGATGCAGTGGTGTACATAGCAAAATTAACTTCATGTCTCCCCAGAGGAGGCCACTCCTTATCCATTGTCTCATCAACTGGCATATACAGGCTCAATAACGCATTCTGTAACATTAGTAAGAGAAAGAATAAAAGGTTCCATTTACTCACAATTCCGAATAGATTAAAAGCAGCATATTGTAGAAAAATGATTGGTTGCAAGAAGAGAGTTTAACTGACTGTATGACTGTGTGCAACACAAACTGAATACTGAATGAATAATGATGGACTACCACATAGCTAATTGAATACCGACTGAAAGAAGTGGGAGAAAATACTCTTCAGAGACATGGCTCTCTTTAAGGCAGAGAAGAAACAACTGATTGCTGCTGGATTAACTGACAGTCACCCCAGCCTGGAAAGGTTGCTTCCAGCCAAACCTCTTAAAGACAGCACACAAAGGCTAGAAATGAGAAGGGAATAATATCTGCAATTTATCTTTTGAGCAAAAACTTCAAGGCCAGCTTGGCTTGTTCCCTGGTACTGTGTGTAACCCCTGTAAAATATTGGTCCAGCCCAAAGGGATGTCGCTAAGATAGACTAGGAGAGCTAAGGAGGCAGGAGCTGCTGTTGCCATTTGGACTGCTAAGGCCGTTGCCAGCTTGGTCAAGGGTTTTGAACTCTGCATGTGGAACTCATTCTTCTATGTTATGCATACCCAACTGAGTTGAGGAAGATAGCTTGCATTTTTGTCTGAATTTGAAATTCAGAAAGACACTTAAACTTTGCAATTCCGCAAGCAACTTCTGTTTTGCTTCTCCTGCTGAAGTCTTGGGTGCACAAATTGTAGCATTTGGCTATTGTTATAAATGTTCATGTTGTTCATATAACTGTGAATAAGAGACTCATTTTGGGGAAATTGTGTTTTCAAGGTTCATCTACAGAGTAAACAAATAGCCCCACAGAACTTCAAAGTGTTACATGTGCTAATTGGAAAATCAACTCTGTGAAGGGAGGGAGCGCTTGTCTTTATTAACATAGGAGGGATTCAAAGCCTGATTGGCAGACCATCTCAAATGGTCCAGAATGTGGTATTTAAGGTGCATAATAGCTCAGTAGTTTAAATATCTGGCTGCAAAGCCAGAAGTTGGGAGTTCGATTCCACACTGTGTCTCCTTGACAGGGAATGGACTCAATGATCCGTAGGTTCAATTCCAGCTCTGCAGTTCTAAGATTATTATAAAAGGGGTCAGATTCTAGTGGGTTTAGTTATCTCGTAAGAGATGCCATGCGCAGTTGCTATCCTGTTATGCCATGCCGGAAGGGATGCACTCCATGGACACTCCAAGATTATGATGATGCTATGCTAGTGTGCAAATATTAGGTAGTTTATGTAGCTTTTTTATTTTCTCGTGTGTTTGCTCTGTGTTGTTTAAGATCCTAATTGATTGTTTGCTGTAAATTCTTTTGATGCCATTTTGAAACCTCTTGAAATTTGCCTTTTTGTCTTTTCCACTATAGTTTAGTAATATATATTAAAAACTCCATCTGATTGCCTGGAGTTTTTCATTAGAGGGTATGTGGTAATTAAAACTAGGTCTCATGCACTAGGACTCCAGGATTGGAGCAGCAGCATTGGACTGTCCAGGTTACGCATGACATGTACACGGATCTTTCGCTCACTTGCTTTTCTTGTTACTTATCTACAAGATGACTCTTTGCAGTGATCCATTCCATGTACAAAAACACTTGAAAAGAGTAGAAAATACCTCAAGTGGTTCAGATTTCTGTCCGTAGAGCCAAAAGTTGGGAGTTTGATTCCCCACTGTACCTCTTTGACAGGGACTGGACTCAATGATCCATAGGGTCCCTTCCAGCTCTGCAGTTCAATGATGATGATGATATCAAAGTGTTTGCACAGTGTTCATCACAAGCGTGCATAATACTACAGTACTGTCCTACCTCTCTAGTAGCAACTATGGTTGTTGTTGTATATTCATTCCTCTACCACGTGGTGTTGCACATACCCTAATATCATGTACTTGTCCGTATACCTCTGAAATAAATGAACATCATAAAGAATGTATGGTCAAATCATGTTGTGAAACCAACACTATTTGGGCATATACACATGCAGTTATTTGAGTCTAGAATAGTTGGGCTTTAGGAAAATATGAATCGCATTGGCTATTGCAATCTGTGTTTAATAAACACAGGACTTTTCAGGTAACAGGTTGAAATAAAGGGCACATGTTGAAGTAGTGATTTTTGTGCAAGATGTTCTGCTTCTTTCCCCCCCTCCCCCATCCTTATAGTCAAAAGGGAAACTTTATTTACAACAAATATGGAGTAGAACATGAAGAGGCTCCAATTATTGCCCTTTTTTCTTGTCACTGGATAGACACGTGTGGTGTATGTATTGTGGTCAGTGGCCTGAGCTGATGTTTAACCCAGTTGCTCACATGTTTTGACTGAATGTTGTTTTTCGAATAAAGAGCCATTGGACAGACTTAGGGTGGAGCTAATGCAATTGACAGAATGTTCTAGAATAGTTCGGTTGAAAATAAGATTCTGACCGACTACCTAGTATTTGTTAAATAGGAACACTCCTTAAGCCCCTCTTTTGTTTTCTGGCTTATGATCTATAACATTATTCTTTTCTTTTCTTGTGTTTTTCCCTTTCTCTCTTTTCCTCAATTCAGGGTTATTGGAAAAAGATGAATCAACTTCTACAAACTCTGAACCAGAAGCTTGCAACTCTTAACCATAGGCAAGAAGGGATCGTGAAGATCAACGCAGCTGTCTCAGACAAGGCAGTGGTTTTTAAAAACAAACCTCCATCTATTCAAAGAGAAATGATGAGTGTTTGCAGTGATCCTTACACCTTGGCACAACAGTTAACGCATGTGGAACTGGTAAGCTGCAAACAATAGTTTTTGCATTATCTTTAAATTGTATAGATAGCAACTGCGAAATCTGAATATCAGATCTAAGCCAAAAAAAGGCATCCTTTATTATTGCTTCCGACATCATGTGATTTATTTCTCTTAAACTGGGGTGAGCAACTTCAGCAGTTGTGGCTAATTTTCTGGAGCCCCAAGACATGGTAGAGGCTTCACAGACAATCAAAAAGGCAAAGGAAAGAAAAGAAAACAGAAGTGGTGTGAAGTCCCTCTCCAGGTTTAAAGTATGAATATAAGTAGTACAGGGGGTCTCTGTGCCCTATTTTAAAAAAAGGCAAAATTATACTTTTAAGGGCTTCCAGAGGCTGTTGTTCACTTTTTTTTGCCAGAGAAAAGAGGCAGGCTATGATTGGTACCACCTAAAATATCCATGGGAGGCCACACATGGTCACTTTGCTCGTCCATGCTCTTAAAAAACTCCTAAAAACTGTTGTCAGCATTGTCTGAATATGGGACCACAGTGTTGTCCCTTCCCTATAAGCACTACCTGACTGGGAGGTGACAGTACATCCGACCTGTAATAGCAAGAGGCATATTTTTAGTAAAAATGCAAGTGCCACAGTAAAAGATAAAATATGTACTGTTTGGGTTAAAATCACTGAAGCTAGGCTTACCTGCATCCATCATTGGAAATAACTATCCTGATGAGAATTTCATCCTGCAGCATGAGATTAATTAATTTTAGTTCAGAGAACAAAGAATATAAAATATCTGTGCTTGTATCTCCTAATAGGCATCTTGACAATGTTCCATCTTTCATCTGATGTTAACTGAGCATTATACCTGCTTCATATCTCAAAAGATCTCAGGCAGCAAATACAAAAAGCCATCTAAAATAATATTCAGATACATGTATTTGACAAAAAAGTCCACTCCAACAAAATAATCTGTGGTCAAATATGAATTCCAGGAAGGCTCTAACATAACAGAAGAGGGGGAAAAAGGTAAAGGTTCCCCTTGACAATTTTTGTCCAGTCGTGTTCGACTCTAGGGGGCGGTGCTCATCCCCGTTTCCAAGCCATAGAGCCAGCGCTTTGTCCGAAGACAATATTCCGTGGTCACATGGCCAGTGCTACTTAGACACGGAACGCTGTTACCTTCCCATCGAAGTGGTCCCTATTAATCTACTCGCATTTGCATGCTTTCGAACTGCTAGGTTGGCGGGAGCTCGGACATGCGACGGGCGCTCACTCCGTCGCGTGGATTCGATCTTACGACTGCTTGGTCTTTTGACCCTGTAGCACAGGCTTCTGCAGTTTAGCCCGCAGCGCCACCACGTCCACAACAGAAGAGGAAATATGCTACTAAATGCCAGTAGCATAAATTCTATAGTGTTTTAAATCAATCAATTAATCAGAACAGAATAACAGTGCAGTAATATGATATCAGTAATACTAGTCAACCCGAATGTGTCTGATCTGGAACACGAAAAACAAAATTAACATTCTTCAAATAATATAAAATAATATTACTTTTAATTAGCCTGTTTTCTTATTTTACTTCTTTATTTTACTTCTTGAAAATGTATCATGCAATGGCTGAAGGTCCTAGTAAATTTTGAAAATTGAGATATCTGATTAGATCTCTTTTCTCCAGAAATATTTAGGGAAAAAAGCAAAGCAAAGCATGCTGCTTATATACCGCCCCATAGCACTTTAAGCACTCTCTGGGCGGTTTACAAGTTAATTATGCAGGCTACACATTGCTGGGTACACATTTTACCGACCTTGGAAGGATAGAAGGCTGAGTCAACCTTGAGCCGGCTACCTGGGATTGAACCCCAGGTTGTGAGCACAGTTTTGGCTGCAGTACAGCGGTTTAATCACTGCTCCATGAGGCTCAAAAAGCAGACACATGTGAGTAACTGGATCAGAATCATGGCATTGTAGGAGAAGGTTAATATTTTCCTACCTGACCACACAGACACAAACACATATATTATCCTCAACTCTACCCAACCAAAGCTGCTAATAAAAGTTGTGTGTCCCCCCCTCCAAAAAAATAAATAAATAAATAACAGGTCCCGGTTCCTCTCCCAACAAGGCTCATATGGATTTGTCCTTCTTTAATCTTCCTAGCAATACCCAGTGTGGTGTAGTAGATAGAGCGACAAATTAGGACTCAGGAGGTCTGGATATAAATCCCTGCTCAGCCATGAAAACTCACCAGGGGTGTAGAACTGATAAAACCTTTCCTTAAATTTATCACTTCCCTTGAAAGCCTTATTAGGGTCACTCTAAGTTGGTTCCAACTTGACAGCACAGAACACACACACTACATAATAACAGAGTGAATAGTCTGGAATAGAGGAAGCCATTATCAAAGTAGTAGGTGCCTCAATTTATGAACTTAATTGGTTCAGGAAGATGGGTGCAAGTAGAAATGGTCATAAGTCGAAGCACGATTTCCCATTGGAATGCATTGAAATGCAATTAATCCATTCCTTTTCTTTTGGAACAATTCATAGCTTTCCATGGTCTATTCTATACATACAGCAACTGGCCACTCTTGATGGCAATATTCAGTAATTTAAAGATTTCCCCCTCCCGTCCTGCAGTCCCCAATCACTTCCTGATGAAAGGGATTTCAAAGGAGCCTTGGGACCTTCAGGGGAGAAATTGGTTTATTTCCAAAAAAAATTACTATGACTAAATGGTATCATTAGTCCTATGTGGCATAATTTATGGAACAGGATTGTTTCTCTGAAACCAGCTAGAAATGTCATTGCAGTGTGGATTGCACCATTCTTCTGTTTTTTTGTGCACAGGGCCACAAAAGTAGAGAAGGGGAAGCTCATTTGTTCTGGCAGAAAGAATATAATGTGCTGTACAAATTAAATCAACATGTGTGCCTTGTAGGTGGGTCTAGAGTGCAAGCTAGCTCAGGACTATAGATCATGCCTTAATGCAACCTTGTGGAGATTTTAAAAAGGAGGTTCTGATTAACTGACCTGTGATTTTATCAGTTACTTCTAAGATCTGTTAACCAGTCTGTATAGTTGTGATATTTTTGGCAGTGAATAACAGACATAAATGGTTCTCAGGATGGTCTATGACACTTTATTTCTCACTTTTTCTGTTGCAAAAGGAAAGATTGAGTCACATTGGCCCTGAAGAATTTGTACAGGCATTTGTCCATAAAGATCCATTGGAAAGCACAAAGGTATGACTAATTATATTATCGTTGCACCCCTTTCCTGCCCATCAACCCTTATATGACGGCATGTGGGTGGGCAGTTCAGAGTGCAACATGGGTGGTTGTTGGAGCATACCGTGATCTGGTAAGCATTTATTAATAGAGAATCCCATAGAGTATTTGTTTACAGTTACCTGGAGTTGTGGTGTTCCCATTGCTGAGGTGTGTTCCTTAGGACACAGTGCAATAAATGGACAATTACCCGTCTCCTACCTTATGTTCTTCTGGGGTCTCAAATATCATTGATGTTAGAACCTCTGAAGGCAAAACTGTACATCGATTAAGCATTGGACTAAAAAGGAAAGTATGGGTAATATTGGTTGCAATTCAGGAATGGAGTGAATTTCTGCCTTTGCACTTAGATCCTTTGCAGTCTTGATAAGGTCCATCAGCATCTCTGGGATAATGAAAATAGGAGAATCTGCTTCATGTGATTTTGGTGCACCCTGAGTTCTTCAAAAGGTTTCTGCAAGTCAAGAAACAGAAGCTAAAAGAACACAGTTTACCTCAGGCAGGCAGAGCCATAAAGTTGTCGCATTTGGTATGAAATATTTTAAAGGAAAATTCTCAATGCAGCATTTCTGCCCAAGTGGCTAGAAAATTAAGTTTACCTGCAACAATTTAAACGGGAAGTACGTAGAATATATTGTTCTGAATACCTGGGACAATGACAGAAGGGAATGGGCCCTTTTGTCTTTTCAGCTATTCTTGGTAACTCTTTTGCCTCAGAAGAAGCTGCACCAATAAATGAGTGCCTCAGAGTTAGCAGTATGTCTTCTAACCTCTGTCAGCTCTTTTCCACCAGGATTTAAAACAGAAGCATGGTGTGCAGTTGATTGTTATATGGCTGAAAGTGAGTTGGGTGCTTAGTTGGTTGCTGCATTATTTATTGTGGCAATGGGAAGGAAAAATCCCTTTTTCTTTGGTTGGCTTCCAAATAATTTTGGGGTCTGTCTTTGTAGATTACTGGGTCTGCCAAGCTGCAATCCAGAGATATGTTATTTTTACATTCAATTGCCTGATGCTTCCCTTCCTCTCTTAGGCGTCGTATCTCCCCCTCTCCTTACCTGTTTGTGGGGTGCATCCTGAAATACTGTACTGCTCAGTACAGTGTGAGAAAATAAGATGCTAGGCATAGGGGAGAGGGGACAGAGGATTCGGTGATGCATTTGCAACTAAATTAATTTATTTATATCTTGCATACCTTTGGAATGCATTATAACCCAGATCGCTAGGCCATAATCTAAGAACTCTATCAATTAAAGTTCAGTGCTTCAGTGTAGATACATAGTCTTTTTACACTACATTAATGTAAAATGTGATACCTTTTAAAATCACCATCATACTGAAAACCAAGCACACATTCAAATTCCAAGCCAACTAGGTTTTCTTTCTGTATGGCTAATCAGCTACGCATCTTTTCCTCCATTAGCTGCCTTATTTTGGAAAAGTTTTTAACTTGCAGTAGAGATTCACTTGCCAAGCTGAATTTTGTTAGCCTGGCAGAAAAGTGCAGAGACATTAAGCTGGTTGAGTTGGAAGCAGTTTGTTAGCTGAAGCTGATGCGCCTGCTTGCCTTTCCTTTTTCTCCTGGGGCAAAATCAGGTAAGAAAGAGCCAGGTGTTCATGGCAGGCAGAAGAGATTATTGTAGGTAATAGTGAGAGGGTGGATTATGCCAAGCTACCCAGCCCTCAAAACATAGGAGACACAAAGGCCACTTGCTATGGTTGGAAGCCTTGTTATGCAGGGCACATCAAAAGAGCAGGAAAATGTTGGGAACAGAAAGACAAACAGACAAAGAAAGAAAAGCCTCCCTTGTCAAGTCCTTGGATTGCTTGAAGAACAAAGGACCTTCTTCAAGCATGAATAAGACTGAATCTTGAATAAGTTTGCAATGAATGTTCACATTTGGTGGCAAATCAGGTCCTAAAGATTGTAAAATGTTCCCTAAATCGTCCTCCATAAATTAGAGGTTGATTGAGCTATGAAATTGCATGTCCTCTCTGGCAGGGATCACTTAGTGCATAGGATGTTGCAGAACCACATTTGACTATAAAAGTGGTGAGGAACCAGAGGTTTTCAAGATATTATCAGACTACAGCTCCCACTATCACTGGTCATGCTCATTAAGACTGAGGGGATTTAGATTCCCACTTTAGGAGGCCACAGTTTCCCCATTCCTGGGCTAGGTGATGACACTGGGGACAAACAAAACCCTGGAGTTTTGTATGAAGGCTATAGAAGGACAAGGACCACTTCTTCAGCTAGCATGGCCACAAGTATATTCCATCTCAGTGGCTGTTGGCCATTTCCTGTGAGGACTGTGGTCCAAGCTAGGCAGATGGGGTGCATCTTAACCAGTTTAGTGTGGGCCACAGCACTGGACAGATACTGTGACTTAGTTTTCCTCTCTCTAGCTGCTATACACAGACATGTGGAAATGGTATTTATTTATTTTACACCCCTTTCTATTGTATGGGTCCAGGCTGTTCATACTGTATTTCCATAAAAATAAAAGGTCTTATATTAATTTTTGCCCCAAAAATGCATTAGGGCTTATTTTCAGGGGATGTTTTTTTTTTTTTTTCCATGCACAACAATCTACATTTATTTAAACACAGTCATGTCATCTTCTTCTGGTTGCTGCACAATGGTGGAGGGCAGGGTTTCACTGAACTGGGGCTAATATTTGGGGTAGGGCTTATATTACAAGCATCCTAAAAAAAATCATACTAGGACTTATTTTCAGGTTAGGTCTTATTTTCAGGGAAACTGTATTTTAAACTGTACTTCCTGCTTTCACATGAGTTTCTCTTGTCACACAAATCCCTTCATCCCCCTTTAATTTTCTCTAGCCTGAGGGTACATATTCTACAATACCAGTGAATCTGCAAACCAAATGATATTCCTTCTCATTTCATCTGACTCATGAGAGCCCCCTTTCCGTTACTATAAAAACTTGCTCTTTATTGTACTCCCCATTTATTCATCACATCCTTAGGCCATACACTGGAAATTATTGCATTAATGAAAGAAAAATTAAATATTTCCCTAAACTCTCTAGTGACTTTTAGCAGGTTGAAAAAAAAGAAAGAAAGAAAAGGAAAAAAACTCAGAGCTATGAATCCTTTCGGGAAGTTTCAGAGAAAGTAGCCATGTTAGTCTGCAGCAGAAAAACGCCAGAGAGTTTTGTGGCACCCTGAAGATGAAAAGTTTACGTTGACATAACCTTTGTGTCTCTGATCAAGGGCCTCAGTTCTCAGAGGCTTATGCCAATAAAACCTGCTTCTCTGTAAGGTACCACAGTACACTTTGTTTTCCTTTCAGGAAGACCATCATAAGGTTTCCTAGGGAGGGGACATTGCAAAGATATTACATTACTGAAGTTCTTAATGCACACCTAGGAGTATGTCCTGTTGATCTCAGTAGGACTCATTTTTCAGGAGGCACGTATGAGATTGCTCTGTGGTTCAGCAGACTAGCACTCATTGTCAAAGAGAGCTGGGAGCTCTCAGTCCTAGCCAATTGCCTAGTAACCACAGTCTAAAGATCACATGTCACAAGAATGATATTTTCCGATTAATTTTGTCATCTGAGTGACTTGTTTCACAGCAACCAATGATACAGAAATAGGTCAGAGATAAAAAGATCTGTAGTGAAGAGATTATTCACTGAAAAATAAGAGAATGCGAAGGAGGTTGTTGGTTTTTTTTGGGGGGGGGGGACAGACAGTATTCCATGCTATAACTGCATTACTTTATTTTCACTTTGCTCTCTTCTTCCTAAACATAAAATTTGTTTCATGCAAGACAACACCATGGGCAATTGCATTTGCTGAACTCTGGGAAGCTCTTTGAATTAAAGACATAAACGAAATACATATTATTAGGAAATTCATGCTTGTCTGATTTTATTTTCTCCATATTCTTGTTGCTCTTTGCATACTGCAGTATCCTGGCTGTTAATATTCCGGTGAATGCAGATTGGGGTCAGTTGTCTTGTGTGCAGTCTCTGTAAGGCAAAATGAGACTGTTCATCATATACTGATGTGACTTCCAGAAAAGGGATTGCATGTTGTTGAACTCGTGTCTGCTACCGAGCTAGCTACTGACATTTAAAGCTTGGGTCTGTGTATCCTGTCAATTGATGTGTCCATACATGGCTTTCAGAGAAATCTATGTTACTGAATACACAACAACATCTGATGATGACAATGATGATAATGATTAGATTAAAACATAACAATGATGATGATTAGATAAAAAGAATCTAGTTTATGTGTCATTTCAGGGTTTTTTGTTTTCCAGCCTTGCTTCAGTGAACAGAAGAAGACTAGTAACCTTGAAGCCTATGTGAAATGGTTCAACAGACTCTGCTATCTTGTAGCAACGGAAATTTGTATGGTAAGTCAAAGATGTACAGCTCGGTTATATCCTTTGTCCCATTAAGCCACTCAGGGATCATTCACTAATAATTGTGTCAGAGGATTTGTTCGTAATAATAGTGAAGTGTGTGCTGCTTATGTACCGCCCCATAGCACTTAAAGCATTCTCTGGGCAATTTACAATTTAATTATTCAGGTTACACATCCCCCCCCCCCAGCAAACAAGGTATTCAATTTACCAACCTCAGAAGGGTGGAAGACTGAGTCAACCTTGAGCTGGCTACCTGATTCCGTTGAGATAGAACGCAGGTCGTGAGCAGAGTTTTGACTGCAGTACTGCAGTTTAACCATTGCAGTTTGTGGCTGTTTACCATATTGTTATTGCTGCGTTGATTGTTGTTAATAACACATTTTATATCAGTACATGATACAAAGAAGCACTATAGCAATTAGTAAATATGGGGAATGGTAAAATAGATTATTGATAAAAATAGATGATTGTGTGTGAAGAGGACAGTGGTACGGACACTTCTGTTGTGCTCCATTCAGGGGGCCCTGAGCACCTACTCAGCCAGCGCATGAGCCCACCACAGAGGATTGTGTTTCGGAGGGGAGGGTGGTCAATCCCGAAATCAAGGGAGCACATCACTCCTGGAATAGTGGGACCCAAACAGAGGTTCTGCCCGTGGAGATCATGGCAGAGATCCCAGAGATTGAGAGGCAACACCTAGAGGAAATAAAGGGAGCAGATTGTCCCTGGCACCTAGAGGGTATAAAAGTGGCTTTGCCAGGGGTAGAGGCAGATTCCCCAAGGGAGAAGAGTCAGCAGGAGACAGAGTGTCCAGATTGAGGAAGTCAGAAAGGCCAGAGGTGGGTCTCCAACAGAGTGGAGGAGGATCCTGAGGGGAGGGCTGAAAGGATGCTCAGGAGGAATTCTCAGAGACTTCGTCGGTGGAGGAGTCCCCAGAAGAAGAGCCAGGGCCTCAAGAGGAATCGGATTACAGCTTTAAGAAAGAACCCATGGGCCAGGGGTCTTGGTGCAATGGCGTGTCCCCAAAGAGAAAGGGAGAACTTCCAAAAATCCCAGCTTCCCCCAAGACCATCTTACTGGGGAGAGAGCATCCAGCATCCTGAGAGGTGGTGAAGAACAGACCAACAAATCAAAAGCCATCCAACTCCAATGCTGGCAAAGAAAACACCTGCAAGAACACCAATGTCAGAATGAAAAGGAGGAGACCAGACAGGCAGGCCAGGGGAACTGTGGACCACCAGGGGAAGAATCCTGTGTTAACGTGCCCTCACTTCAGGTGCACCAGCATGCACTCTTGCATTTGCACAGGCTTGTCCGAAACCCCTTTAAAAGTTCCCGCCTCTTCCTCCAGCCTTTGGCAAGCGTCGGAAGGGAAAAATGCTCTTTTTTCCCCCTTTTCCCTTCCGAGGCTTGCCGAAGGCTGGAGAAAGAGGAGGGAACTTTAAAAAGGGTTTCGGACAAGCCTCTGCAAATGCCGGTCGCTGCACAGAGGGACCCGTGCAAGTCCTCCCATGCTGCAAGGTAAGCCCCAGGGGACCCTGAAAGCCGGCGCGGGTGGTTTTGGGGCACCCCCGCCAGGGTTCTGATGGCTTCTCCTGAACCATCAGAGCCCTGGCGGGGGTACCCTGAAACCACCCACGCCCGCTTAAGAGCACTTTGGAGGCTTTTCCTGCAGGAAAAGCATCATACAATGAAAAAGTCCCATTGGAACCATCGTTTTGCAATCGCTAAAACGATCGCAAAAAACAGTCATAAAGCGATTTCATCATCAAGCGGGGCAACCATCTTGCGAGGCACCACTGTATTTCCTTTCTTCTTGTCTGTACTCATCCTTGATGGCCTGGCCTTCTTTCCATTTCCTGTACATGTCTTTTTTGGTTTTTAAGTCCTCCCTGAGCTTTTTGTGAAGCCACACTGGTCTTTTTTGCCACCTCCCCCCCTTTTTTCTTGTTGGAATTGTTTCTGGTTGTGCCTTTAGATTTTTTTTTCTTTTAGAAGCCCCCACCTTTCTTGGATTCCTTTTCTTGTTAGGATCTCCTGCCACTTATCCTTGTTCTGAGATTATAAAAATTGGAGTTTTTTTAAAATCCAGAAGATGTGTGTGGCTACACTCTGCTTTCCTTTCCTTTGAAATCAAGAATTCTAGAAGGACATGGTCACTCTCACCTAGAGTTCCCTTTACTGCCACTTCCCCCACCAAGTCATCTCTGTTGGTCAGAATCAAGTCAAGGATGGCAAATCCTCTAGTTTCTTTCTCCTCTTTTTTGTAAGAGAAAATTATCAGCCACACAAGTCAGGAACTTCTTGGAAGGGCCATACTTCGCAGAATGTGCTTTCCAGCATATATCTAGATAAATGAAATATCCCATCACTACATCGTATCTCTTTGAAAACCCTGCAATTTATTTTTCAAAAGTTTTGTCCGCTTCCTCTCTTTGATTGGGTGGTTGGTAGTAGACTCCAACTACCAAGTTCCTTTTGTTTTTTGCTCCAACTAGATTGATCCAGATGCTCTCGATGGGATAGCCAATCTCCTCCTCCTGTATTTCTGTGCAGGAATGTGTATTTTTGACATACTGTATACTGCAACTCCACCTCCCTTTTTATTCTCTCTGTTCTTTTTGATCAGTTTATATCCCTCAGTTGCTGTATTCCAGTCATGGGAGTCATCCCACCAAGTTTCAGTTATTCCTATCAAGTCATACTTACCCTCCAGAATTAAAATTTCCAGTTCTTTTTGTTTGTTTCCCATACTCTTGGCATTCGTGTACTGGAGGTTGTGTGATATGTGGCCTGTTCGTCTTTGTACATTTTTATGAATATTGTTGTTGCTGTTGTTGTTGTTGTTGTGATTATTATTGTTAATGTTGTTATTGTTGCCTTTTTGGTTAGTTTGGTCCATTCCTCTTATTGTCTGTAAGGCGTCATCTACCCGTAACTCTCTGCTTACATCTCCCTCCCCCTTCCATTTCAGTTTAAAGACCTCCTGATGAAGTTCTTTATGCTGTGAGCAAACACATTCTTCCCAGTCTTTATTAAATGCAATCCGTCTCTTGCTAGCAGTCCTTCTTCCAGGAAGCTTAGCCCATGGTCCCAAAAACCAAATCCCTCTCGTCAACACCACCTTCGTAGCCAGTCATTCACCCTCAGGATCTTCCGTTCTGTTTCAATTCCTCTTCCGAGCTCCGGTAGGATGGCAGATAAAACTATCCGGGCCCAAAAGTCCTTGAGTTTCCTTCCCAGAGCTTCAAAGTCAGACATGATTTCTTGGTAGCTCCTCTTGGCTGTGTTGTTTGTTTCCACGTGGAAAAGAAGAAAGGGATATGTATCTGTAGGTTTTATGAGTGACGGCAATCCTTTGATGGCAATTTGAAATATCACAATTAAAAACAAACTAAAGTATTTGCAAATATTGAAAGCCCGGGTATGTACGATGATGCAGGGATGACAATTTTTTGTATTTTCTCAATAGAAAATTATAATATGGAATTATTATGCTTTTCCTCCAAATTAACATGGGCCTCCCCTGCTTGAGAGTCACTGCTCTGCATCAGCAAAGCCCTTTCATTTTCTGTACAATACTAAAACTCCAGCATAGTGCTCATCCTGTAACTGATAACTAATTTCAAAATGGGTGTCTTTGCTTTTCTTCCATTAAGATCAAGACTAGAAAAAGTTGGCATAGTTGGCATCAAGCCCAAGAAAAGTTGCAGTAATTGTCATTTTATTGACAGTTACTTGGATGGAGCATCTTTGGAATGAATAGTCTCTTCTAGTGCACAGGTTTACGTGCTGTGTTGGGTCAGTGCTTGGATACGGTTTTAAAGGCATAATCAGTTTTGAAACTCTCTGTAATAGAAGCGTCAATTCTGTGAGCTGCCAGCAATCGGTGCCATTAATCAAACTGCTTGAATGGCATTTTGTAGGTGTTCAGAAATTGACTGCTGGAGCTGCAGCATGGATCTCGTCCATTACATGCTTTTTTTAACAGTTGTATCTTCTGTGCCTCCTTTATCTGTCTCTTTGCAGCCTGCAAAAAAGAAGCAGAGAGCACAAGTCATTGAGTTCTTCATTGATGTTGCTCGCGAGTGCTTTAACATTGGGAATTTTAACTCTCTGATGGCAATCATATGTAAGTATACTAGACTTATTTCCATAAATTGTCATCAATACATACATGAGGTTCTGTTTCCTAAATTCCTCCCTGCCCCAATTCTTCTTGTTCTTCACCTTCAGCGGGCATGAACATGAGTCCAGTTTCCCGGTTAAAGAAGACCTGGTCAAAAGTGAAAACAGCCAAGTTTTTTATTCTTGAGGTAAAATGTTGAGAATTGTCTATTTGCTACTAATATTTTTGTGCATTTATTTAGGCTGACTATTAACAGTACAGTAAGTGAATACCATCTTTCTGTCTGATTTAGGGAGGCAAACACACTTAAACAGCTGAAAATGCCCTCATGAAGGGATGAAAACCTAGGGTTGAGCTATATCATATGTCATAAGGCTAAATCCAACCTTAATTCTGTGTTGATCACATCCATTGATATGAATGAGACTTAATTTGATTCTAATTTAAATCCCATTGATTTCAGTGGATCTACTGGCATTGGATTTAAGCTGTAACATACAGATCAGGAGCCCTGGAGTGTGCATGAATTTTCACATGGCAATTGGTCATGTCTCCCCACTTTTTAGTCTCCCCACTAAAAAGTATTCCCATTTCTTTTTAAGTCTCCCCACTTCTTTTAAATATAAATTTTATGTTAAAAATTATAAATTTTACTTTTAACATATTAAAAATAAATTAAATACCGTATTTGCCGGCATATAAGATGACTGGGCGTATAAGATGACCCCCCAACATTTCCACTCGAAATATAGAGTTTGCATATTTCTGAAGGGAAATTGTGGGAGTTTAGAAAGATAAAAGAGTGACACCAATGTGATTTGCTTTCATCAGCCATACAGGATTTAACGAAGGCAGCCATCTATGCCACCTTGAGCGTATTAAAGGAGAGGCGGGGCACAAAGGTAACCAACTTTTTGAAGGCCTGTTCCATAGTCTTACAAGTGACAGGGTGGCCAGGTTCTGCTGCGGCGCCGGCAGTGGCTGCCTGGGGCTCTGCCCGGGCCCACCCTGGGAGTTCATGGCCGGCGAGGAGGGCGAGGAGAAGGGGAAGTGGCTGGGTGGGCGGCGGCAGCAGAGGAGGAGGAAGGGAAGTGGCCGGGCGGGCAGTGGAGGAGGAGGAGGAAGAGGGGAAGCGGCTCTCTGGCGGCGAGCGGGCAGCGGGCTCAGTGGCACAGGGCGGCGGGCAGCCCGGTGGTGGGCTCTGGCTGCTCAGGCATGGCCGGCTCTGCTTCCGTCCCTCCGTCCAGACCAACCGCCTGCCTGCCTGCCTGCCCGCCCGCCTGCTTTCCTCCCCAGCCGGCACGGCCCCGCATCACTCACTCAACGGTGGTGGCGGCTCCTTCTGAAGTGCACCCGGTGTATAAGACAACACATACACACCACTTGGAGGCATGTTTTTCAGGGCAAAAAAGTCATCTTATATGCCGGCAAATACGGTAAATCCCAGGGAAGAGGTTGAAGCCACCTATATCGTGCCCAATGATACCATTTTTTTTGACAGGGACCATCCAAGCTTATCTTACTGTGTTAAAAGGAGCCCTTAATCTTCATCTGCCCTGATGGGACCATTTGTTTGAATTGATAGCAGATTAGACTTACATATTAAGGGAAAGTCACTGGAATTGACTGTGGCAATAAAGGAAATTATTGGACAGGACAAGTTACCTTAGGCAGCAGAGCATAAAGGATGGCAAAGTGGCCTCCCACCTATGACAGCCACTGTTGTGAAGACTCTCACTCTCCGGGTCCCAAATACTTGGCTTTGAAGGGGTTCCTCAGGCCAAATCATGGGGCCTCTGTAGGTCACTTTCCCTACCTTCCTCTGTCTTGCTCTCAGAGTTAAACGGGAAGCAGATGGTGGCTGCAATACCACCTCCATGCCTCCTTTCCTGTTTGGTGAGATGGGCAAGGTGCTCCTCCTCTGTATAGAGTTTTGGTTATAGGTTGGCCCTCCCTTTTAGTATATCATGACCTGGACACAACTATCTCCCTGTTAGTTTAACTATTTTAGAACCCTATTCAAGTGGTATTTTTTTTTTAAGGTGTATATTTGAAAGCACAATTAGGGAGAGTTTTAGCCCCATCTTGCCTGTTGCTGTCTTCACCTGAAGAAGGAAAGTCTCAAGAGGAGACTTTAGTCTGCTGCCTTTCCATGCAAGGTGGTTTTTCGAGACCTCCAAGTATATGCAGTAGAATAGTTCCTGTTCAGACAGTTCTACTCCCTGTGGAGAGAGTCACAGCCAAGGCTATTAGGATGAGCTGCAATGGTCACTGGGCCCACTTTGGCCACAGAAATGGCACCCTTAAATATTGGTGGCAAAGGGTAGGAGGGGACAATTTCCCTATTTGTTGCCAAATCTCAGTGGCAAAGCTCTGGAACCATTTGGAGCAAGTAAAATTCCTGGTTTAAATATTTTTCACTTAAGTGCTATCCAAATATGGCAGCATATTTTTTCCATCATGTTTTAGAAGGCTGCAAAAATGACCTTAAGAGCTAAGTGATAAGAGAAAGGCTGTAGGCACAACATGCAGCAACCAGAACTTAGCAGTTAGTGTGATACTCATGACTTTACATGTACACAAACTGAGTAGAAGCTGCCATTTGTTGAGTACTACCCTAGCAACAACAAATGAAATAATAATCATCTACAAAAATAAAGTAAAACAAAACAAATCATCTGGAGGCATTCTTAGAAGAAAGCTTGCAGAAATCCACATAAATGGATTGATCAAATTCGAAATATAAAATGTTATTTCCAGAAAAGATGAAGATAAGCAATGGACCTGTAAAGGACATGCTGAATAGTTTCTGTACCATTTCATCCATAGCATTTACCTATTATCTTTGAAACATAGAAACTTTGTGATGCAAAGGTTATCCAGATCTGTTCTGAATTGATCACTTATGTATGGACTTTCTCCCGTTACATTTAGCATCAAATGGACCCTACTGGTAATTTTTATAACTACAGAACTGCACTAAGAGGAGCTGCCCATCGGTCCTTAACAGCACACAGCAACAGGGAAAAGGTATTTTGTTAATTTAAGTTTTATTAATATTACATGATGAGCGGAAATTTTGACTAAACAGTGAGAAGGAACTTCCTGCCAGTAATGGTTGTTTGACAATAAAACAGATTGCCTTGGAGGTGGTGGATTCTCTTTCAGTGGAAATATTTAAGTAAAAATTAGATGACCGCCTGTCAGAGTTGAGTTAGAGGTGGATATCCTGCTTCTGCAGGGAGTGGGGTTTAATGACCCCGGGGCTTCTTTTGAGTCCTGTTTCAAATCTATAATTACATGAAAGTTGTTTATAGTTCCTTAGGTACAGATGGGCAAACCTACTGAGTTTCATTCTGCTCACTTGATTTTATATCCTGTAGTGACTATGTGGATTGTATGGAGTATCTTTTTGAGAGTGAGGCCAATATAATGTTAATGTTTTATTTTTCAGAGGCTGAAAACTACTTTCTTTTTTATCTGAACGTATAACACAATAGTGCTGTGAAAATGTTTGTGCGATAAATCCAGGTTCTAATAAGGTGTACTCACATTTCATAACCAATTTGCAGTCATCAAGTCTTCATTTCAGTCATATTTTAAGCTCACTTTGAATTAAATTCAATGAGATGTTAGAAGTGCATTTGTTAAAAGTGTAGTTATCATTCATTGCTGGTCTCATACCAAAATATCTCATCGCCTTTTTGAAGTATATTTATAACATAGGTGTTTGTTGGTGTTTATTTTTTTTATGCCTTACACTTTTAAAAAAAGGAATTAAACTTTACATGTATGGTATAGCGGACAGAATGTCAGACTCAACCTAGGACCGAATCGCTGCTCAGCTCTGGAAACTCACTGGGAATGGCATCAGTAAAACTCACTGAATATCTGGCAGAGCCTGAAAACCTTGTTAGGGATGTGATAATTCATATGTTACTTGATGGCACATAACACACATCAGTTTATTAAACTAAGCAGTTCCTGAACATGCCTTCCCCCCACACCACACACACACAAAACCACAAAAATTAAAAGTCAGCATTGAGATTTTAGTTTATGAATTGCTTTGGGAAGTTCCAGATATAGATACACAGAGACTATGTATACAGAATACATTCTACTTGAATGCAAGTATGTATTGCATCATTGAGAAGATGTTTTTTCAGACAAGTGAAAGAGATGAATGTCACTGACTATCTGATTTAGCTTACAAATTTTAGGGCATTTAAGCAGCCAGAGACTGCTGCTCACAGAACACTGCACATTCAATATGTCCTGCATTTCAGTGGACGTTTATCAGAAAGTACTGTAACTATATGAATTTCGTTGTATGGGTATACTGTGTATATACTTACAATGACAATGAATTATTATTATTATTATTATTATTATTATTATTATTATTATTATTATTATTATTATTATTATTATTATTATTATTATAATATGGAAATTTTAATTTAGGGCAATAGACAACAGAAGCTGAACAGGAAACACATAATGTTGTTCTGTCAGTTCTGTATCTCCTGACAAAATATGTATTCTCTAGAGGTGAAGAAACACTCCTCTACAATTCTGCGTGGTTCTTGTCATTGTTTACTTGTTTATTTATTTACATAGTGATATCCTGCTTCTTTATTTATATTCCCAGAGCAGCTAACGAAGTAGTAAGAAAGGAGAAAAATGAAAGGTAAAAGAAAACAGAATCACAGAAAGGCTGAAATCCTGTTGTGCAGCTTCATGTACACAACCATGATGATCTTATTATCAATGGCAACTTCCTACTGAATAAAGGCAATCTTGAGGTGCACACTAACACACAAAATGACAAAGTTGCATGCACCCCATAATCTCCAAACAAAGCCTTTTATCTGTGGTGTCGTCGTCATTGTGCATGTGGAGCTGCACAAGAGAGTTTCAGCCAATAAATCATGTAAGTAAACACAACGTATAAAATTGTGTTGCAAAAGTTATAGTCAGCAGATCAAGGAATAGGATTGTATCCATTGTTGGATGGGGTTGCACCCCCTCTAAAAACACAAGTGTGCAGCTTGGGGTTGCTCCTGGATTTGTCTCTGAGCCTGGATTGCCAGGTTCCAGTGGTGTCCAGGAGTGCCTTTGCACAAATAAAACTGGTGCGCCAGCTGCATCCATTCCTGAAGAGGTCTGATCTGGCCATGGTGACACTTGCCTTAGTTGCATTCTGGCTGAATTACTGTAACACCAGCTATGTGAGGCTGCCTATGGAAAATGTCAGGGAATTTCATTGGGTCCAAAACACAGCAGCCAAATTGCTAACTGGGGCTGGTCACAAGGATCACATAACACCCCCAAGCTCCATTCTCTCTCTCTCTCTCTATCTATCTCTCTCATTCCATCATGCTGTCTTCCCTATCTAGTCCCATTCACTTCTGTATGGCTCATTAGTCTTCTAAAATACTAGCAAAAAGTTTCATCAATGGCTACTGCATACGTACTTCAGTATGCATGTGCAGCCAGAATTTATACAGTATATATTTTATTATGTAAAACAAATAAGTTTAATATGTTTAAGGCCCCTTATCTTGAAAATAACATTCTCATGTAAATTTAAAAACAGAGCTTGGTATCATCAACATAGTGATGGCCTCATACCCCAAATCTCTGGATGATCTCTCCCAGTGGTGTCTTGCATATATTAATGAGTGGTGGCAGCAAAACAGATTCCTCTGATCTAACAGAGGCATCTTCACTCTTTGTGGACAGCAGAGATTGCTCGGTGAGGAAGAATACAATTTTATCCTAAATCCCCCCCCCCCAATCAGTGGATGCCCATAAAAATTTGGTAGTCATTTGCTTTGCTGTAGCAGATCTCCTTACTTGAAGCAAACCTGTAACAGTTACAAAGAGAGTAAGGGGAGGGAGAGAGTCAGATGGAAGGAAGAAAAGGGTCATGTGAATAAAGTATACAAAACCATCTTGTCTAACCCAGCCTTCCCCACAATCCCTTCTATTCACTTGTCTCTGAGATAAATAAACCTGTTAGTCAAAGCATTTGGAGATAGGAGGCTAGAACTAAAGGAAACCTAGATGAACTTCTGGATAGCTCAGTGGCTTAGGCATCTGGCTGTGGAACCAGAGGTTGGGAGTTCAGTTCCCGTCTGTGCCTCCTTGACAGGGTCTAGACTCAGTGATCCATAGGGTCCTTTCCAGCTCTGCAGTTCTAAGATTATAACATTTTCTGGGTTATTAATATCCACTATGGACAGTCTCAGTTTAAAAAGGCAGAGTATCATGTCAACTAAAGTCTTGTGTGTCAAGCAGCAGCTTCTGAACCTGAGTTAAATGTAGCAAAATACATATCTTTCAATAGTGTGTTAAGCCTAGTTGGTATTCAAGTCCAAATAGCAATGTGTTAAAGTGATTAAAAATGGACTAGGAAGACCTGAGTTAAAATTTCACCTGGCTGTGAAGTTCCCTAGGTGAATTCACCTTAAGCCAATCATACTTTCTCAGCTTGACCTACTCCTCATGATTGCTACGATGAGAAAATGGGATGGAGAAAAGTATGTGTGCTACTTTGAATTCACTGGAAGAAATTAAGTCAATACTTTTCTGATGGGGCAACTAGCCATAGGAAACTAAGGCCTTCAGGGCACCTTGCTTCATGTGCTCTACTTCACAGTGACAGTAGCACAGTCACAGTCCCTAGGCACCGTGTGCGTCCTGCAAGAGGCCACCAAAGGACCACTGGTACAGCTTGACATGTGTCTCTTGTGGCTGTGTGCAATCAGGGTACCATTCTAGAGAGTTGGCCTTTGTGTCAGGATTTCCATTTGGGTTATTATCCCCCGTGCTGTAGTTTGTAAGCGTGGAATCACAGGACATCGTATCTTGTGATAGCTCTGTAACTTCTTACATCATGTTTGCCTTGATTTCTTTAAGGTTAAGGGTGGAATTCTGATAGGGAGTAATAGCAAAGAGATAGGAGTTAAATGTATTCTTGAGGCTTTCACGGCCGGGATCTGATGGTTGTTGTGGGTTTTTTGGGCTCTTTGGCCATGTTCTGAAGGTTGTTCCTTCGTGCTCTGAAGGTTGTTCCTACTCCAGTCCTCTGAGGATGTCGGCCACAGAGACTGTCAAAACGCCAGGGAGAACAACCTTCAGAACACGGTCAAAGAGCCCGAAAAACCCACAACAACTATCAGATAGGAGTTAAATCATCTTATGTATCCTAATTGTTCACCACTATGTCCTGCGTGCAGTAGCTTCAAAGAGGACATGCTCCCTGCTGGGACTCTTGCTCCCTCCCTTTCTCTTCTTCTTTTTTATTGGATGCTCAGCACAGAGCTACCATAAATAACTTGAGGACATTTCTTGCCGACACCGGTGGCTTCTCTTTTTGATACTCTTTCCCGGAGTTTTTCCTTTGCTAAAGCTATAGCATGAAGGACTGTGCTTCAGAAGCTACAGTTCTGTTCATTCACAAAAAGGCCTGAGGATATACTTGAAAGATATGCCCATCTGACATACTTATTCTTACTTTAATAGAAAATATATCTCCTATAGGAGAGACAAGACTCTAGGTGAGTCTAAATCTTTATAAGGGAGCTCAATGATCCAGGGCTTTCTGGTTGAAGAGAAGTGCCTCTGTGCTACAGTGGAAGTGAAACTATAGCGAACAGACTTACTTCCTCCAAGCATAACTTGTTGTATGTTAACCTAGTCATCTACTGACTTATGTTTATTTTATTTGTTTATTTGAGATCAATTCCACCTTTCTTGCAGAATTACAACTCAAGGCAACTAGATGGGGAGCCAAAGTGGCTTAACTACCCAGCAGTTGTACAACTCTCCTGGGCTAAAAATGCCTCTGAGAAAATATTGTCTGTGGAAAGTATACAAATAGAATAGGAGATGGGAAGTGGTATATAAATCTGTATGACATAAGCTATTCAGATTATGAGCATATTCTATCTGTGTGCCTATTCTTGGAGCAGCATCTTAATAAACAAAGAGACACTTTGACCCCAAAGTCAAGGCTGGTCAGGTTATTGAAGTGCAGCGCAAAATTGGCCCTTTGTCAGAGCATACATTGGTCTCTCAATAGATAGTCAAGTGGCTTATTTGTAAACAAATAATATTGAACAGTATTGTTCTGTTATGTGCCATCAAGTCATTTCAGACTTTATTTATTTAGCTTATTTTTATTTATTTTTTTAATTTAATTTTAATTTATATCCCGCCTATCTAGTCACGGTGGATATAGTGAGGACACTAATTACGTAACAGAGAATACAAAACAAATGATAAATACTCTCAATATCCTTAATAAATTAATAAAACTAAGAATATTTATTTATAAAGCTTATATTATGGCAGCTCTATGAATTACTGACTTCCAAAAGGTCCTGTCATTAACAATCCTACTTAGGTCTTGCAGAATAAAGGTCATGACTTCCTTTATGAGTCAGTCCATCTCAAGTTAGATCAACTCCTGTCATATTTGGTCTTCCTCTTTTTCTGCTGCCTTCCGCTTTTCCTAGCATTCTTGACTTTTGAAGGGATTATGTACAAACTTACAATAGCCTCAGTTTAGCCATTTTAGCTTCTGGCAAGAACCATGTGGTTAGTTTGCTAATGTAAAGCTTATAAGAGAAATTAATTAGTGTAAGTATTTGTCACTTTATTTGATGCCTCTGGCCTTTACACCAGATAAGGATCAGGTTCAGATGCATACATCTATCTGGCGAAACAAACTTGCAACACAGGTCTAAATCCAACTGTTAGCCCCAACTAGAGTAGATCCATTGGATCAAGTGCCGAATTGTAAAGCAACATTTACATTAATCACATTGATTCTGTGAGTTTACTCTTATTGGGAATAGCAATTAGATTTAGGTCATAAATTGTTGTCTGTCGTTCACTTCATTGAAGTTTCTGCCCTCTGCTTTAGGTGGCATGTCATGATGAATTACAATAAGCAAAATGTCATAGCAAAATGTTTGCTTGTTTACGTTGAATTGTTAATTTTTGTTGCATTCCACTATCTCGTATTCCATGACTTTCCTATCCATTTATAGTTGAATTAATCTGTTTGTTTATGATAATATTCTTGTTGACATAATGATCTTATATTTGCTTTAAAATGCATGCTACTGAAATATTAATAGGCATAAAATGAAACTTTTGAATACGTTTAATCTCCATAGAATTACCTAGCTTGTATATAATGAACAAGGAAAAATGTTCAACATTGCAGTTATTGTAACTTATCTTTCATATCATGTCTCCCCTAGGCCTAGCTAGTATTAGTGTTTCTTCATTGGAATATTGTACATTGAAAAGTTAATCTCTCTTTTCTTCTTGTGAATGAGCTGTTCTTTCATGCACAAAGAACAGAACTGCAGAAATAATAGTTATGTCATCTCTTCACAGATTGTGATCCCATTCTTCAGCCTACTGATCAAAGACATTTACTTTCTGAATGAAGGATGTGCCAACCGCCTTCCAAATGGGCATGTGAACTTTGAAGTAAGTAAAACACAGGTCTTTCTCATGTACAAACATGGCCAGGGGGTTATTTTGGATTGCTTGGCTTTAACATAGACCAAGACTGAACCAAAGAAGAAAAAGAAAAAGATCAATTTCATATAAAATAGAAAGAAAGAAAGAAAGAAAGAAAGAAAGAAAGAAAGAAAGAAAGAAAGAATGAATGAATTGAATGAATGAATGAATGAATGAATGAATGAATGAATGAATGAATGAATGAATTATATTTCAAAGGGCAGGGATGGGGGGGGGAAGAGAGAGAGATTGGGCCCAAAAGAATACCACATGTACATCAGAACTTACCTGTGAATTTCCTAAATTTCAGGTCATTTGAAAAGCTTTGTTTGAGAGCCAAAAGAGTCTCTGAAGAACAATTTAAAATACCACAAGGGGGCATTGTCAAAAACAGAAAATCTTTACTCCTCCCCACATGGAAAATTGCACTCTGACCATCTATAGAGCTCTTTCTTTGAATTCCAATCTTCTCTGCAGCTGTCTTTGGTAGCACCTGATAATTTCAGGTAGTACTGAGCCAGGGCAGTTTGTTTAGTTTGCAGATTTGTTTGGTTTGCTTTTTACTGAACATTTGCTGAATTTGCCTTTTTGGAACCTAAGGGTTAACCAAAACATAATTTACCATCAACATCCAATGTGCATTAAGCATAAGCTCATATTTAGGGGAAAGTGCACAAAAATGATTGAAATATCCTTGGAAAATGTGAAGATTTAGCAAAGTATATTAAACATTTCCCAATAGTTATACATACACATTGTGATACTGGTGGTGTGTCCAAAGTCCAATGGAGAAATGAGATGGAACAAAGAAATGTTTTAAAAATGAAAATCTAAGCAAAATTGGATAGAGTGGTTGTTGTGGGTTTATTGGGCTCTTTGGCCATGTTCCGAAGGTTGTTCTTCCTAACGTTTCGCCAGTCTCTGTGGCCGGCATCTTCAGAGGACAGCACTCTGTGCTCTGGCTGTCCTCTGAAGATGCTGGCCACAGAGACTGGCGAAACATTAGAAAGAACAACCTTCAGAACACTGCCAAAGAACCCCAAAAACCCACAACTACCATTAGATCCCGGCAATGAAAGCCTTCACGAAAAAATTGGATAGGATTCACCTGTCTTTAATAAGATTGTGGCAAACAAAAGTCATGGCAACTTTTGTGTTTTTTCTCCTTCCCACTTAAAGAAACCATCCAAAACTGATGCTTGGTAATGATATAAATGTGAATAACGGCAGTAACATCCCTGCCAAGATGCTAGGATGGGACAGGCCATCATTCTATTGATAAAGTTGGGTTGTAACAAATTGCTGGTAGCGGCTATATCTAGTCTCAGTTTGTATCCACCCCTGACTGATTCACAAGCTCCTTTGAGAAGAGGGAGAATATGCCTGTATGTTCTCCCTTGAAGAAGAAGAATACATCTGTATAATCTACTTAAGAACAAGAAATGAGAGTGTTCATGTATAGTGGTGACTCTTTTATTTTACAAGTTTAAGCAATATAACTAACTATCCTGTAGGATAAAATATCTGACCGGTGGTCTCTGCGAAGCTGTCCTAATTTTTTTCATTCCAAGTGTTGTAGCTAAAGAACAAGCACCTAATCAATTTAATATTAACCTAGAGATGTGTTGGTATTTGTTGATTCTTTGCTATCTATTAACATCTGTGATTGTTTAAGACTGTTTATAGCTATTTAAGGAAGCCTTTGTTTTTGATTCTTTAATTATTCTGTTTTGGATTATCAATTATTTAAATAGGATTACTATGGTTTGTATCTATGACTTTGTATTTTTCATCTCAGTGTATGAATTTTTACAACAGTATTTATGTATATGGCCAAAAATTAATTCATGCAATTCCTTATGATATTTAGCAGGACTGTAGGTATTTCTGTAGTAGGCAGTTATTATCTTAGAATCTTAGAACCAGAGAGCTGGAAGGGACCCTATGGGTTACTGAGTCCAGCCCCTGTCAAGGAGGCATTGCGGGGAATTGAACTTCCAGCCTCTGACTCTGCAGCCAGGTACCTAAACCACTGAGTTATCCAGTTATTGTTACTGTGTGAAGAAAATAATAGTAAGAGTAAGAAAGATGTAGTGTAGGTTGATAATACATAAGTACTGATTATTGTCTGAATAAGATACTAAGTTTGTATTGAGTAGCTGTATAGCTCTTTAAACACTTGAATATATTCAACATAATGGGAAAGCTCTATTGGCAGATTGCTAACTAGTGGAAGAGTGGAATGCAGTAGAACTGGATTCCTGCAACATTTCCCTCTCATTTGCCAAAACGGGCTCTTCAGGATTAAAGAATTAAGGAGCTGGTAGACAGCATCTTAAAAAGCAGAGACATCACCTTGCTGACAAAGGTCCGCATAGCCAAAGCTATGGTTATTCCAGTAGCGATGTATGGAAGTGAGAGCTGGACCACAAAGAAGGCTGACCAGCGAAGAATTGATGCTTTTGAACTGTGGTCCTGGAGGAGACTTCTGAGAGTCCCCTGGACTGCAAAGAGAACAAACCTATCTATTCTGAAGGAAATCAGCCCTGAGTGCTCACTGGAAGGACAGATCCTGAAGATGAAACTCCAATACTTTGGCCAGCTGATGAGAAGAGAAGACTCCCTGGAAAAGACCCTGATGTTGGGAAAGTGTGAAGGCAAGAGGAGAAGGTGACGACAGAGGATGAGATGGTTGGACAGTGTCATTGAAGCAACCAACATGAATTTGACAGGAGGCAGCAGGAAGACAGGAGCGCCTGGCATGCTCTGGTCCATGGGGTCACGAAGAGTCGGACACGACTTAGCAACTAAACAACAACAAAGAGAGCACTGTAGGAGGGAAGAATGGGGAATAAAACTGTGACACACCAGAACAATGTTGGATTTATTTCTAAATGGACAGTGCATTTAATATTAGTCGAAGCTATGTATATGAAGGAAGTCTTCAGTAAAGAGCACCAAAGCCAAAGAGTTGCTTGCGTTTTACATGAGAAATGCACATTGTATGACTGACATCCCAGAATGTTACTTTAACTGCAAATTAAAATATAACATTCTAGCTTCATGTTCTTCAGCAAATTAGAGAAACAGAGGGAAAGGTATTCAGGGTAGGTGAGGTGGAATAATTTAAATCATGCTTTTTAAATTACGGTAAATCACACACATTTACAATGGAAGATCTTTGTCAAATATTGTAGCTTTAATGTTGCAGTGATACACTTTCCTTTTCATGAGATGTCCCCTTCTTTCTGTTTGCAGAAATTCCTGGAACTGGCTAAACAAGTAGGAGAATTTATAACATGGAAACAAGTGGAATGTCCATTTGAGCGAGACGATAACATCATCCATTACTTACATACTGCACCCATTTTTACGGAAGACGGTGAGAAAGCCCTGTTTTTATGAATGCTGCAGTGCAGTGGTTCTCGTCCTTCATCCTTCCAGATGGTCTGGACTTCATCTGCCAGAACCCTTGGCCATTGGCCGTCCTGGTCAGGGCTTCTGGGAGCTCATGTCAAAAATATTTGGAAGGACAAATCTTTCATACCACTGTTAGAATGGTAGCAGGGCTTAGAAAAGTAACTGTAATGATTAAGGTGCAGTACTGCATTCAAACCCTCTGCTCAAGACCTGTGTTCAGTCCTGATGGGCTCAAGTAGCCGGCTTAAAGTTGACGGAGCCTTCCAAGGTCACTAAACTAATTCTCCAGCTCACAGGGGGTGGGACAGTTTGTAGGCTGGATAATTAAATTGTAAACTGCCCAGAGAGTGTTTTAATCACCACGGAGCAATATACAGTGGTGCCTTGCTTGACAATGTTAATTCATTCCAGCGAAATCGCTGTAGAGCAAAAACATCGTAAAGCAAAATTAAAAAGCCCATTGAAATGCATTGAAACCCATTCAATGCGTTCCAGTGGGCTGAAAACTCACCGTCCAGTGAAGATCCTCCATAGAGGTGGCCATTTTCAGGTGCCTGTATAGCAAAAAATGGCTCCTAAAAACAGCCATTTTGTACACCTGGCAGCCATTTTGAAACCCGACGATCAGCTGTTTTTAGATCGTCGTAATGCGAAAATCGGTTCCCGAGGCAGGGAACCAATCATCGTGAAGGGGATTTTTCCAATTTAAACCATCGTTTTGCGATCGCTTTTGCGATCACAAAGACCTAATCGTCAAGCGATTTCCTCATTAAGTGAGGCAATCGTTAAGCGAGGCACCACTGTATAAGCAGCATACTTTTGCTTTTTGGCCTGGCCATACTGAGTCAGGACTTTGGGCACTTATAGTCCTCTCCTCCACCCCCACCCCAAAATTCCTCCCTTTTAAAGCACTGCGTGAACTGATGATAGCTTTGAATTGAAAATGTGGTCTTCAAGGTCTGTCCTTCTACAAATTCTCACTGTCTAGAATAGGCAGCTAAAGAAGTGATCCTCTGAGCCGTTCTCTTCTCCCACAGCTTCTCAACCGGGCGTTGTCTTTGTAGCACATCATCCCTGTAGTATTCACAGAGGAATAGGCCTGGTGGCCATTCTGTGAGAGGCTGTCATGAATGTCAGTCAGGCTGTAGCTGAAAGCATTCAGAGAAAGAGCAAGTCAACCAGTCCCTCTCTCTCTGCAAGTAAAGCTTGTAGCGGCTCAAGGCACAGACAGGAGGGCCCCGGTCTCAGCAGAGAAAGATTTACCATTTAGGCTGTGCTTGCAGTGACATGTGCGTGTATGTAGCAGGGGGATAATCCTTCGCATTCATAAATGGTTTTCTGTGTGAGTTCTGTCCTCCCTGTCTAATGTGCCACTTTGTGTTCTATCATTTGCTAACAAGTTAATACAGTCATATCTCATGATCATCACATCAGAAATAGGAGCTAGATTTGTTAGCATTGCCTATACGTGCCCATCGGCCTGGGTGACTTTGGATTTGTTTTTCAACTTCTGGGTTTTTTTTTAAAGAGCAGCCTTCAAAACCTATCCATGCTAATTACATCTGACAGTTGGGACTCCATTGGCCATACATAAATTTAGAACACAGAAAGGAAAAATATGCTCAAGGCCCATGAACAACAACTGTCAAGATGATGATGATTATAATGATAATAATGATGATAATATAATAATAAACAAGCACTCCAAACCAAGGTGTTGAAGGTAAAATCAAAAGAGTTAGTGCTAACAGCAAATGTCGACTTTGCCAAGAAAAAGATGAAGCTGTGTCGCACCTCATCTGTGAATGTCTAACGATTGCACAGATTACAAAGTTAAACATGATAGAGTGGCAAAGTTAGTGCACTGGTTATTATGTAAAAAATATAACTTGCTGGCCTCCAAAAAAAACAAAAAAACCTCTACATCAGATAGAGAAGGTGGCAGAAAATGAGGAAGTCAAGATCTTGTGGGATTTCTGGATCCAAACAGACAGACACCTTGAACATAACACACCAGACATAGTAGTAATAAAAAGAAGAAATGTCTGGATCATAGACATTGCAATTCCAAGGGATGCCAGAGTTGAAAATAATGAATTGGAAAAATTAACAAAGTACAGAGACCTGACAATTGAAACATCTTGCCTCTGGAAGAAACACACTTCAGTGGTCCCCATAGTCATTGGGGCTTTGGGAACAATATCAAGAAATTTCACAAAGTACTAAAAGCAGTTGCAGATCTCTGAAATCACACCACAATCAGAGTTACAAAAACGGCAATATTAGGAACAGCATACATACTGCACTGATATTTAACAGATACTTCGGTTTTTCGTTGAAAGTTGTATCTGTTATATAATACCACTCAATATTTTTATAATTTTGAGTGTGCCTGGTGTTTTTAAATAATAATAATAAATTATAATAAGCCCTGGAAGAAAAGGTTGAGACTAACCAATGAGCTTTGGTAGTGATCAGGGTCTCCTAGTAGAGAAAGGGAACTGGAGAAGATCTACTATTAATTCCCACTTTAAAATTAGGTACTTTTGCCCCTGCTTCCCCCATTTGAAGCCTAGGCTAGTGGTGCCCCCACACTAGAAGCTAGGAAGCAGGTCTGGTAAGCATTCTGCCGCTGACTGAGGGAGCAGGATCGGATCTGGCAGAAAGCGTTAAATCCACAAGCTCTACTTCAATTCAGCTGGTTGAAAGAGCATTAAAATATGAATAGTGCTTTGAACATTAAGCTTACCCTTGAATTGTGAACAATTGTGTATCTCTTGCACAGGCAGTGTGCTCCTGTGTGTATTTATTCAGGTGCAGATTTCATTGAGTCTGTAAAAGACTGTTGTGTCGTCTTCCTCGTCCAGGTTGGACAGCCATTCTGACTTTGGATGCAGCAATTTTCACCATACATTACACTCAACTTGTTGTCTAACTTTTTTTCCACCCAAGATATTTTCTCCTTCCAATCTTTCATTTCCAATTAATTTTATATTAAATTGATAGCTGTAACAATCTATACTTCCGTATCTCTTTCCCTAAGCAAATTACTCTTGCCTGTGTTCTATATTTTATTGGTCTGTATTCATTTGCCTTAATACTTTTCTTCCTTCCTTCCTTCCTTCCTTCTTTCTTTCTTTCTTTCTTTCTTTCTTTCTTTCTTTCTTTCTTTCTTTCTTTCTTTCTTTCT